TCAAAATGTCCAATAATGTTAGTTGCACTGGGTTATTATTGCATTAAGTGATATACTCAATTATTCAAAATAAAACATTGAAATAACTAGAGGGTGTTCCGTTTTTCAAGCGCCGATTTCACAGGAGTACGAAGTCATTATTTTTCAGTTGAAAAGTTTTTATCATATCTTCGTTGAGTAGATATTACTTTAAACTTCAAACAATCAAAAATGTTCTACTATTTTCATGGAAAATAATATACTTACCTACTGTACTGGTAGTCAGGATTGACGTGAATAACGACCAATATCCTGAATATAATTAAAGATAAACTTTTAAAAAATGGAAAAAAACATAAAGCTATTAATAATATTGATATAATAATTGAATTAATAATGATGATAAATAATCAGAGTCAGTTACTATGCTATAGGAGATCCGGACCATTTTTTAAAATTTCAAGTCATTTTTCCCCAGATCCTACGGAAATTTTACGATGTACGACGGAAAGCCCCATAAGAGCCTATATGTAAAGATGAGCAGATTTTCCTCCAGATCTACGGATTTTTTCCATGAATTTTAAGCTGATCTACAATAACAAAAAACATAATATATAAGGTGTTTGAGAAAAATATACAGGGTGACTCACGGTTAGGCCACCACACTTGAAAATCACGTGACTCAGTAAACATATCACATTCAGCAGAAGACAGCTAACGACTGACGTATTATAGATGACATTTGACAGATGGTGTTTGAAAAAAGTTTTTTTTGACGGCTACCAAGGGCCATATGGTAAATATTATCCCAACTATACGTTGTTGCATATGGAATTAAAGGTCTCTAAGGGCCATATAGTGAATAATATGTCAACTATAGATTGATGTAACAAACTGTTTTTTGTTATTGTAGATGTTCTTATCATTAGCTTACGGTTAGCTAACTCATCGGAGACGGGGATGACCTTGAAGGGGTCAAAAATTACCAGAAAAAAATCCGTAGATCTGGGGAAAAATCTGTTTCCCTTTACATAGGCTCTTATGGGGCTTTCCGTCGTACATCGTGAATTTTCCGTAGAATCTGGGGGAAAATTACTTAGAATTTTGGAAAATGGTCTGGATCTCCTATAGCATAGTTACGAGAGTCGAGAACTCCTGCTATACCTATAAATCGGAATTATCACTTATACAGTGTGTCCCTAGACCAGTGGGACAATTGAATATCTCGTGAACCAATAGGAATTTTCGAAATATTATAATTCCACATCATATCGCATCATGAATGCTAACTTCAGGAATGACTGAATTTTATACGAGTGGCGCAAGAAAGGCTCACAAAATCGAACATCAATTTTTTCAAATGGAACACCCCATATATTTCAACATATCTGAATTCTCATTCCTTTAGGCTAATTATCAGTTTTTTATTTTTGAAAATCCGACAAGGCGTTACCAAATTGTATTTCATAATGTGTCAACGGTGCAGGGGTAGACCAGACCATCATGAAAGTTGAGAAAATGGTGGCTTCTGAAGAACAAAACGTATTTAAAATTGAAACACGACAAATCATAGCAAATCCGAAACAGAATATCTTATAAACATTTTTGTGTGACTAAAAATTGGAATTTCCGTCGTCCCTTAGGTATCAAAAGACGGTGAGTGATATTTCCGATTTCTAGGCATTATTTTTTATTATCGATTAAAATAAACAACTTTTGTCCAATCCAATCAATCCCGTATAATTTATCGTATTTGAGATACAAATACCTAGTGGTAGGACATAAAAGTTTGTTCAACTCGAAATCACCTCTGCTCGCTTGTCAAATTCGTCGCTTGAAAACCGGCCCGCCCTGTTTAGAATAGACTACGAAAATATCTAGAGAAGACATAACATAAAAATACATCAAAAACTTTTCGATATAGGCCGATGCAATTAGCGCAAAACATATAGGAATCATTATTCTGGTAGTTTCAATTTTTTGAAATATTTCACAAGCTGGTTTCCTACTTTTATTCCAACAGGAACCGAGATATGGAGTTGTGAAGTTTGCAAAACAAACATCTAATGTGAGACTATGTAACTTTCCAGATAAGAATATAGCAGATGGTGAAATAAGGCAAACTACAGCATATTATAACCTCACTTCCTACCATCAATTTCATTATTGTCTTATTCTCTCACAAACTTATGCAAAATATACTCTCGACGTTTCATCACATAACTTTGCAATTATTCCCAAATAATATTTGGCTCTGCCATCCAAACCATCTACATTTTTCTTACCTGGAACAGATCATAGAAATGGTTTTACTTGAGAGTGTATCGATTCCAGTGCAATTTCAAGCAACCAAAACAAACACAGTATTTTTTAAGGCATGAAAATTCATAAGATATTTTTGTTTCATGTTTTCATAGTCTCATTTTACTGTTTTGCATATCACATCTCTATCTCCTCAAAAACTATTACTAAATATCATTTTGGGAATTATTTAAGGACATATTATTGTGATTGCTAGATATTTTTTTAACGAAATGTTCCCCGAATTCCATTGGCTAGCGGGCCAAATGAGACCGGTTTTGTTTTGGGCATGCGCCCCTAACCGTTACCACCGATACAACAAGGCCAGCAGACTGACGTAAACAGCTCGTGACGTCACCAAGAGAGGCCAGTGTTTTATTCAATCGCTTGTCGACTAAGATTGTTGTTTATTCATCAAAATAATTGGCGGAAAAATTACTGTTTTGTGAAATATTTTGTTTTGTGATCGGCGAAATAACAATGCCTTTCAAGTGTTGTGTTCCCTTTTGTCGGGGGAATTATGTGGGTGGTTCAAAAGTTCATGCTTTTAGTTTCCCGTTGGACGAGGAGCTATCGAAAATGTGGGTATATGCAATTCATCGCGAGGATTTTACTCCATCTAAGTTCAGTAGTAAACAGAGCTTAATTTATAATGATGAATTAATAATAGAAGACAATTACTCTCTCATAAAAAGTATAAGTAGAGGAAAAATAGAAAAGCTTTGATTGTGCAGTTAGTTTTGTATTCGTATATTATAGTCAACAAAATCATCTCTGAATTCGAGGAAATTTTCTTGAATGTTCATAATAAACGGGTATTTTTAATTCTCATTCTCAAATTTCTTTCTGAAAACGGTCATTTGCCTCGTGGCAATGAATGCAGAATTCATTCCAATGATCAAATTGCAACTATCATATTAACATGAACTACAAACACCTCGACAAACACTCTACTTAAAAAGGTAAAACTGCATTTATCATGATATTTATCATGAAGATATTTGACTAAAAAGTTCCAAATTTCACCTACTTTTTCACCTGTCTTCTGGATGGCATTTAGAACAAATTTCCCTTCTTTTTTCATCATGGACAATTTATATATAATTCAACTATAAATATGATTTTCTTGAGATTAATGCATATTTAGTGAAAAGAAGGAAGAATATCATTCAAAATAATGGCGTGTGTAATGTCATTCGAAAGCAATCTATTGACATTTGACATCTCGTATTTTGATTGACTATTGATTAAATGGTCGTCATCTGGAATGCTTGTTCACTAAATATGAAAAACTCGCCATAAAAATCATATTTCCTGTTGAATTTTCTATATAAAAATGTGCCATCGAAGTAGAGTCCGACCACGTTAACTTTGGGACAGCATGTGACGCAACGCATATGCATATTCAATGCATACGCGACCACGTGCTGTCCCAAAGTTATTGTGGTCGGACTCTACATCATATGAGTATATAAAGTGTCCAATGACAAAATAAGAAGAGCAAGTACCTGTAAATGCATTCAACACAAGAGGAGAAGGAAAGCGAAATTTCGAACTTTTTCTTGAAATATCTCAATAAATAGTGGTTTGTTCACATTTTCATTATAAAATTCGGTATATCAGACAAAAATACGTGAGTACTGGAAAAAATTTTCAAAAAAAAACCATCGCATGATAAATGCAGTTTTACCCTTAAAAATTACGGTTTCAAGTGTAACGATCCACTTGGGTGAAAAATCCAACAACAGAAAATTGAAAACACTCACTGGTTATTTTTTCAGGTAATAGGAATTCTCCAAGATAAATATAGGTAATTGTAACAAACGGCATGTCAATCAAAATAAAATACATTTTCCACAATTTTCTTTCGATCAATCTCACGATAAATTTATGTTCTGCGGGCCCTGTATAAGTAGGTGTGAAGTTTACCTTCACCACAATTTTTGCCAATATATTTAATGCGAATGGGTTGCTGTAGGTGGATATTTGTGTTTTATCCTGGTTTTTGCTTTAAAACTTCGTTTTTCCATAATAAAATCGAATGGGGTGCGAAGAAGGGCTCATTTGACGACTGGCATCCTTTTTTAACCGGAAGCCCTTCAAAAAACAGCAAAATCGGCTCAATGATGATCTAAACTAAAACTAAAATCGAAATACGCGGGCGCCTTATAGCGCTATAAGCGCTTGTCGTTTCGAGCCGCTGGTTAGGCCTCACTAAGTGACGTCAGCCACGGAGCATGCAGGCCTTGTTGTATCGGTGGTAACGCCCTAACTCGAAAATTTTAATTGGAAATTAGGAGACCACTTTATGAAACATTGCATAATTGGAACTATCAGAATGATTCCATTCACAGGTCGCTAATTGTATCAGCCTAATATAGCACCGTCAAATAACTATCACTGAAGTAAAATTTCAAACCAAGAAAATGGAACACACAAAGCCGGTCGACCCCAATAAATTCACTGAACAATTCGTGAATTGGGTATCAAAATGAAAATATGCCAGTCTGCCCAATGTTGAATTTTGATGGGAGTCGAGTCAACCATCGACCGTTCTGGTATCACCATTGATTGTGGTCGGACGCATGACTTGACAGATCCTCTATCATAGATTCCCCCACTTCTCGACCGACTTGTGCGTTATATTTCCTTGGATTGAAAACTACTCGGAGGACCACTTTGAGAAAAATGGACGATCCACGAGTCGATCTGTTCTGGAATTATCTCAGCGGTCCGTTCTGGCGGCGAACGGTATGCCCGGCTCCATTTTCAATGAATGGGCGGTCGGATCGTAGTGGCCCGCCAGATAGTAGACGTCGTTGTCGTTGTAGACGGCGGCGTAGCTGGTCGGGTGGTCGCCCAATCGCGCTCTGTATTCGTCCAGGGGCAGCACCTCGCATTTGTGGGAGACAGTTTGGACGTCGTTTTCGTCTATGTGGGGGGATTCGAACAGGGCACCCTGGAAGCGATTATCAGATGATAATAATCACTTTTTTGAATTTGAAATAGGAATCCTAATACACAAGTTAGATATATAAATATAAATAATTTGGTATATAAGATTGAAGTACACTTTTGATCCGAATGAAACATGCCATTTTTTCTGCAATCGAAACAATTAACTCGAATAAATATTTGAAGTAACCACCAACGCCGTGCCATATGTATGCGATGCAACAAAAAATAATCCGTGTGGTGAGAATTTTCTTCCTGCATTAACAGCAGGTTTATTCAATTTTCAATGATGTTCGAATTGTAGTTTCAATATAAATACAACCACAGAGTGACATACTTGTGTATGGACCAGATGCTCTAATGGCAAATACTGCGCCAGTGCCAGGTAGCGATTTTACTAAATATACTGTACGCTAGCACATACCACGTCCACCGTTATATCTCATCTTCAAAGTACTTTACTTAGGCAAAACTCAGAGACTATTTATTCTCAAAGAACTCACCTATCCCTGATTGCAATATTTTTGAGGAAGGAAAACCGAATGGAGTGTAGAAACACATTAATTAATAATATATTTCAAAAGTTTAGTTCTTCAACAAAATTGAATAAAATGAGACTGTTTATCCTAAACGCACTAACCTATTTGACTTCAAATATTTTATGAAAAAGGAAAACCAGAATGAAGTAAAAAAACATTGGTGAAAAAAAAAAAGTTGCAAAAAAAAGTTCAAGTTCACAGCGATTCGAACCATGGACCTTCAGACTGAAAGTCGACAGCGCTAACCAGTAGACCATTTGTGTGTATGAATTTACTGCGTACAAGAGATTGACAACGAGAGAGCTTCAGTCGAATTCGTGTCAAAATCATAAAAAGTGTATTCTTGCGTTGGAGCACAGTATATTTAGTGCGATGTGCTGACTCCGAGTATATCGGTAATGTTTGGAGATATGACGTATTATGGTGGGCGTGGTTTGTGCTAGCGTGCAGTATATTTAGTAAAATCGCTTCCAGGTATAGAAACAAGTCGTGGACAATGTTAGGTGTGAGCATATCAACAATAATAATAATAGCGATTAATCATTCCTCTCCATACTACACTGTGTTTTGACTTGATAATCAAATAGAGGTAAACAATATCGTTCGTTGGTTGAGACAAAAAACTATTGCTTGCCGTGATTATTCAAAATCAAGTTATCCATGCATCCCGAGATTAACGAATGAAATACAGATCAAGCAAGTATGTGAATCTTGAAGGCTTCCCTGATCAAAACATAAATACTCAACTATACCCTTGATTATATACACCAGTGTGAATACTCAAAGATTGTACTAAGGTGTATTCATGTCTCCAGCATGGGTATGAAATGCCAAATCTGTCGAAATCGGAAACAAATCAGGTATGCGTCCCAACCCAAATAACCAACCTTAACAATATTGTTTTTCTGCAACCGACACAAAAGTCGTCCATTTTGATACCAAAATTAGCTCTTAAATTGACTTTTCTATTACTGACACAAAAATAGGTATGTTGCTAGGCAACATATTTAGTTCCTAGGAGCTAAAGTTGAATTTTAGTTCCTAGGAGCTAAAGCTGAACGTCATCAAGAATAAACAACATCGTGACGGTTGGTTAGTTGGGTTGAGACGCATACCTGATTTGTTTCCGATTTCAGCAGATTTGGCATTTCATACCCATGCTGGAGATATAAATACACCTTATTATAATAGTTTAGTATTGAAATTATAAACATCTCAGTTAAGTATTGTTGTTTCGATCAGGGAAGCCTTCAAGATTCAAATACTTGCTTGATCTGTATTTCATTCGTTATTCTCGGGATGGATAACTTGTTTTTGAATAATCACGGCAAGCAATCGTTTTTTTGTCTCAAACAACGATGTTGTTTAGCTTCATTTGATTATCAAATCAAATACAGTGTAGTATGGAGAGGAATAAATATTCACTATTATCATTGTTGATATGTTCACTAACCTAACATTTTCCACGTCTTGTTTCTATAGCACTGGCGCGGTATTTGCCATTAGAGCACCTGGTCCATCCACAAATATGTCACTCTGTGGTTGTATTAATATTGAAACTACAATTCGAACATCCTAGAAAACCTAACCTGCTGTTAATTTGTCAATATTTGTTGCATTGCATACATATGGCACGGCATTGGTGGTTACTTCACATGTTTATTTGAGTTAATTGTTTCGGTTGCAGAAAAAATAGCATGTTTCATTCGGATCAAAAGTGACTTTGTTCGACTCGCAAATTTTGCTTTCGCTCGGCTTCGCTAAACGCTCCGCCTCGCAAATGCAAAATTCGCTTGTCAAACAAAGTGTCACTTTTGATCCTAATAAAACAATCTACTATTATTCTTGACGACCTCTAGTAGTTCTTTTTAGGTCCTAGGAGCTAAAGTTCAACTTTATCTCCTAGGAACTAAATGTGTTGCCTAGCAACATACCTATTTTTGTCTCAGTAATAGAAACGTCAATTCAAAAGCTTTTGTGTCGGTTGCAGAAAAACATAATTTATGTTTTCAAGTTGAATGACGATTCAAAAAATTGCGTTCTTTTCTCAGAGAAAAATTTTCAGATTTTATGAATTGTTACTTACACATAAGATGAGTCGACAGAAACAAGAAGGAAGAGACAAATAAGTCTGATTGATTATGACAGTTCAATGTTAACAAGGTTTCATCGAGGATGAGCAGTTTCATCAGCATAATATCAAATTATTGGCTAGATTTGCATTGTTATTGGTTAGAATCACCAAAATGTCATATTTTGACAGTGAAAAAGTTATTGATGTTCGTACTCGTGATATCACCTTTGATATAATTATGAAGAATGGAACAATCTTATATTTTCTTCAGACTGTCAATGGGATGAAGAGATATACTGTCAAATAATTCAAACTCAGGCTGGGAGGCTAAGTAGCAAAACCAGACAATTTCCTGATTCCCATAAGTGAAAACAAATCCAGATATTTTTGGAAGGCCAGCACTACAAAATTTCGAAAAATGTGTACAATGGTTTCACAAGAAACGAAAGCTTGCGATGATTTGTAGGGACACGTTTGGTTAAGATCAAACATCATTAGTGGATTTACAAACATATTGAAGATTTTCCCATTTATCTAACACCATGCAGCACAAAATGTGAAGACGCAAGTGTCATGATATAACGGAACTTACAGGATATTGTAAATTTTGAGGGCATCCCACGGTTTCTTCTGGATGATAAAACCATTTCACTCTCACTTTCATGGTGCTACTCAATTCGAACATCGCCTCTATTTTCCCTATGTAAGGCCGGTCAGGTCTTCCAGTGGACAAAAATACGGCCGAATCTCCAACCTTAATACAAACTCATGTTATCAAGGGTGAATTATTTCATCAAAAGTGGAACGGTTAATCATGAAATATGACTCAGTAGCGGATATTTTATTTACTTGACTTTTGTAGTGTGTAAGAATGTATACTGATGGTAATTTATGATTATTTGTTTTGTTCTGCTTTTTCATTCAGATCGATAATGGGGAAAACCACTGAGGGATGAAATCTGTACAAACTTCTTTCAATCGATGCATCATTATTACATTCAATGTACAGTGTGTCCAGTTTTCGATGCTTTTGCGTGATATCTCAGTTATCTTTCGAGATAGAACCTTGCGGTTTTCGCGGTCCAGTGACACTATTTTGTGAAACTCAAGATGGCCTACTCAGATTTTGCATAACTATTTCCGTTTATGGGATACAGAGCGATTTTGAAAATTTGTACTTTTTGAACCCCCTCTATATCTATCAAGTTTCTTAGCGAAAATGTCAAATTAAAATCTTATCCCATAGAGAATTTTGCGCAGAATCCAGTGGCGCACTCAATTTTTTTTTTCTGGGTATGGTTTCGGAGATACGACTCAAACTTATGATTTTTCAAATGGAACACCCTGTATTTTATAAGCTCATTAAATTCATTATTTTTTCCCCATCAAAATGAAATATGATGAATAGGTATAAAATTTTCAAAAATGCTCCAAAATCACTAAAACGTTGAATTTTAATAGTGGGCTATTGATTTTTCTTTTAAAAAAGTTACAATTGAAGGAATATTTCATTTGATTCTTCCATGAAAAGGACAAAAACAATCGCAACCCTAGTTAATTAAGATAACACAAAAATTAGGTGCCTGATAGCAACAAATGAATGGTAATAAAAAGTTCATATTCTAGAATAAGCACCTGATTTAATATTCACTAAGACAATGGGCGTGTACACCTTGGTAGAACTTTTAACTCAAACCATGTTTATAATGATCCTTTCATACATAAATGATGATTGACGACATAATTCGATCGAAAAATTTACTGGAATAGTCAATTTTTGGACATAAATAATAGTACCATCTGAAAACGGACCCTCTTATGACGTAGAAACCTCATCTCGCCATAGTTAAAAGAAAATACCAAACGCCGGACGGAGATTGAGGCAACTGATATATTAATTCTTTCAACTGTAATCTGGCGCTAATTCACTCTGCCAGAAATCATGTATCATTCATCTCTGTCTGGAATAGTCCTGTTTCAGTACTAGGGTTTTGACGTCACATCATCGCCTCGTTTTCAGAGGTCCGAAAAATCTGGAATTTCAATAATTTTTTATAAAACGTAGGGAGCTCACAGCGATAATTGGTTTGCGGTAGTGAGCTAGTTTGGGTGAGTTCTATCGAATTATGGAATACAAATTTTTTGTGATATAAGCCCATTGAATTTCAAAATTGATCAGTAACTTATTCATTGAATTGTTCAAATTGATGTCCACTTTCTCTCACACGCTTTCTCAATACGTCTTAATGTATTCAAAATCATGAAAGGGTGTCTTTGTAATTCCTGGAAAACTGCCTCTGTTGTTGCACGAAGTTCTTCAAGATATTTGTGACTCTTACTGTATGAAGACGTAGTGAGAAACTGTGTTAATTGTGTGTTATGAGAAATGGACATCAATTTGAACAATTCAGTGAATAAGTTATTGAATAATTCCGAAATTCAATTGTATTTGTAAATAATTAATCTGGTGCTTATTCTACATTATGAACTCTTTATTACTATTTATTTGTTGCTATCAGGTACATAATTTTTGTGTTTTCTCACTTTATTAGTGTTGGTATTGTTTTTGTCCTCTTTATGGAAAAATCAGAATGAATATTCCTTCAATTGGAACTTTTTTATAAGAAAAATCCATAGCCCACTATTAAAATTCAATGTTTCAGTGATTTCAGAGCATTTTTGAAAATTTCATATACATACATTATAAATCATTTTGAAGAGAAAAAAATGAGGAATTTTATGAGCTTATAAAATATCAAATCAAATCAAATCAAAATATGCTTTATTGTCGGAAGATTGGTATCTTATTGACAAAGTCTTGTATAAAAAAAAAACAAAATATCAGGTATGTATAAATATAAAACACATGTCACAAAACAATTAATAAATGGGTAAAATTAAATTAAATGAAATAAACATAAAATACATTCACATCTGCAGAAAAGTCAAGTAATAATTTCCAGGTTATCACAGTAGAATTCATTGATTGAATAATAAGCCTTTTCTATTAATATATCTTTGATCGAACTTCGGAACTTTTTGATATCTGTAATATTTTTTAGATTAGTAGGAAGGTGGTTGTATACTTTAATACTTTCATAAATCAGAGAATGTTTAGTCAAAGCAAATTTTGGAATGGGTAGATGAAGCATATGGTTCTGTCTAGTACTATGACAATTTGTTCCGGGAGTGTACATGCTAGTTTTATTTTTATGAATTGAGCATAATGTTTCCATTATGTATAAAGAAATACAGGGTGTTCCATTTAAAAAATCATGAGTTTGAGTCGTATCTCCAAAACCATACCCCGAAAAAAAATGTTGAGTGCGCCACTGGATTCTGCGTAAACTTTCATATGGGATGAGATTCAAATTTGACATTTTTGCTGAGAAACTTCGTAGATATAGAGGGGGTCCAAAAAGTATAAATTTTCAAAATCGCCCTGTATCTCATAAACGGAAACAGTTATGCAAAATCTGATTAGGCCATCTTGAGTTTAACAAAAAAGTGGCACACGACCGCGAAACCCGCAAGGTTCTATCTCGAAAGATAACTGAGATATCACACAAAAGCATCGAAAACTGGACACACTGTACAATCAATATTATAACTTAAAGTTGAATGGAATCGAATCTATACCGTTCTGAAATCAGCTTATTCCATTCGATATTTCAAAAAGCCAGATATGAAGGTGGAGCCGTGACGTATTCGTCCCGAACTGTAGCTATCTCTCTCTGATACCTTACATTCTGCAGTGTTGCGATGTGATTGGTCAGCTCAAGGACAATAGGCGTGTTGGGACTAATACGTCACACCAGTCACACCAGTGAATTGACACCATTTTAAATGGCGCAGGAAGTGTGTGTTTTGAAATTAACATGTTCCAAGTTATTTTTTTATCGGCCTAGTATGAATGAAGAAATTCGAAATAATATTTACTGGTAGTTTTTGGTATAGAGCTCACGAAAACGAAATTATGTAGGTAAATCTGGACTTCAGCCAGTTTCCTTGGTCAGTAGGTGTGTGTTTTTTATGAATATTTCCAACATCCTTCATGTTTTTGGTATTACCAAGCGTGTATTTAAAACTTTCAACAAAAGTTGATCAAAATTTTAACTGAAGCTATTTCCGGCTCAGAACCGTTCCACTTTAAATTCAGAATTTTGATAAAACAACAATATGATTCGAGTATAATGTACTAAGAAATACCAAAAGAAATATTTAGAAATGTCTAAATACGTATTTTGCCATCTTCAGAAGACCTAGAAAGTAAACAGTAAGATTAGCCAACTCCTTAGTACGTTTCAGATATCTCATTTTCCATAATTTACCCTTGAAATGTTGATAAGAAACTGCCCAACTAGAATAGAATTGATACTCTGATGTAGTGCAGTTGTTTAACGATGAAAAAAAAAACATCATATAGTGTGTCCATCTAAAGACTCAGCACCCTGTGAACATTTTTGATCGATCTTGATAAACTTGTCGGTAAGGTATATTTGGAATGCAAATTCAACATGGGTGCGTGTGAAAATTCTATCAATCATTTGAAAAGTATGTGACTAATCTAGCATGGCGCCCATCCTAATAATACCTTCTAAAATTTGAAAGTTGAAGTTACTTACTTGTTGCATGTAACTTTTGTCTAAAAAACAAAGTTCAATAAGATCGATCAAAACATAAAAGTTTCCCAGGGGTTATTCAGGTGAAGAATTCTATAGTGACACATGCTCTCAACCTTGAAAACTGCTCTATAAAAAAGTTCATAATTTCATGACAACTTCCTTAAGCAATATTTTTTCATAGTCATCTCCACAGACTTCAAACTCCTATCACAGCTTAGGGTGACTTTATAAAAACTTTTAGCATTTAAGATTTAACATTTAAACATTTGAGACTTAGGAGTCTTAAGTGGATTCAGTTATGAAAAAAATTAAGATTCTAGAGCGATACATGTCTTCTGTCATTCCTGACATCTAGTTTCTGATTCAGAACCAGATTTTCAGTTTAGTAAGTTAGAAACTGGTTGGAAATCAAAATTTCATATTCTGATATCATTTATTAATTTATTTTTATATCCCTAAAATGATACCCACATCCATTATATCTCCACATCATTTTGAAAGTAATCACTATTCCTTGCCTACCAGAAACTGGCTCACTCCTTGGATTTTTTGCCAAATATGAAGGCAACAGAGCTGCGACATTCTAGTGTATTTTTGAAGAATGGTTCAGTATCCATCAGAAGAAAAACAAATATTCAGGAATAACAACACAAGATATTTTGAATTATTTTTGAATGGCGGGAAATTGAGATGTCACTTTTGAATGCGCACTTCTTATTCCATTTATGATCATTTATTAGCATTTCTCAAGTTGGAAGTTGGTCATTTTCTTAAATGTTAAATCATATGTCTTAAATGGTTTTATAACATAACCAATGATATTTCCATGTGCCATCTGTCATAAGTGATAAGCCTTAAATGTTAGGTGATAAATCTTAAGTCTTAAAGTTTTTCATAAAGTGGCCCTCAATCAACGAGAACTAATTGCCTGCTATGTGAAGCGCTGTAGCCACGTTTCAAACTGAATCTCCTTTGATGTGAATTCATAACGCTTATGTCTCAAACACTTAGACATTATCTGTGTGAAGAAAAAATAAGATCTAGCTAAAAATAAAGCAACTATATTTCCACATATTAGGCAACGTCAGTGATTTAGTTCGACCGTCTGAATGTGACTTCTTTTGTGATTATGATACCTTGAAATCATTCAAAAATATAAAAAACCAGTGCACTAGCCCATTGTCATCACAAGTAAAATCTTCATCGTTATTGAATTTATAAACGTTAACATATCTTTCACAAGTAACAACATCAGTGACTGAGTTAATTTTTACTAAACCTCAACTTTTGCCTAACAAACAACAAATTCTTTATCTATGGAGATGACTGAGTCGTCCTCCATTATAGCTGAACATTTTTTCACCAGGTATCAATAAATCCAGTGTACTAAATTTGGGTGATCAAACGGCACTATGCTCTTCAAAATCGAAATATGGATGAACCTTTTTTTCATAGAGCTGTGAATAGAAATGATTAATTGTTCGCTCAAAGTTATCGCAACAACACCATAAGATTGTACATACAGTTATCATCTCCTTTCCACGTTGTATGGACTTGTAAAAGGCCTTCTTGAACCGTCCTTTGCACTTTTGACGTTTGTATCCCTTTCCCGCCCAACCCCACAGCTGCCTGGCTGGTAGGAAAGCGCTCATTTTGCTTTTGCTCTCCGACGACTCTTGTCGGTCTCTCATCTTTTTGCATTTCTGAAAAATATTGGTAATTGTGGAAAAAACACAATATACAGGGTGTTTCTTAAGAACGTGTAGAAAATTCAGGAGCATGTTGCTGACGTCAAAATAAGAAGAAATGTCCGATAGTTATTCGTTTCTGAGATACAGAGTATCAAAGTTGAATTCTTATTTTCGTTTTTTGTTGATAAATTCCACAATAATTGTGATATTCGAATAAAGTTTGGTATCTAGGGGTATTTTTCAATGACAATATACAAAATTTATGTCAGTTTGTATCTTTCATGAAGGTGACGCCACCAAAAATTGACTTGACAAATGTGAATAAATGAATAACCAGCATTTTCCTTAGCAATATCGAATATTTTCAATCAAATTAATTAGTATCGTTAGTTTCGTCAAAAAATCCTTTTTCGAAAAGTGCTTGCCAAAAAAATGGTTGCCATTTGAAAAATATTAGTTAGGAACGAAAATGTAAATTTGTCAATTTGTCTTTCTCGTATTTATCATATCCTTAGATAAGTTTACGTCCGATCATGGCCACCTAGAAGCAATATCAAAAGTGACTCTAGAAAAAACTTCCGAAAATGTCATATTCTGGTCCAGAATTGTCTCAGGAATTCAAAAATGTTATAACACACAGGTTCCATTTGAAAATTCAAAAGCGGAGCCATTTCCGGTGAAACCGGTAGTGACCGGGAAGTGAAAAATATGCTGAAATTTTCCTCATACATACCATATACCCATATTTAAATGCATTTTGGATACACCGATTATTCGAAAAGTTGAGGCTTGTCTAATAGATTCGTTGACACCCGGTAGATTTAGAATTTCTTACGCTTGTTGGCTATACTGCTAAATCAGATCGATACATTATAAATATGATTCAATTAATCACTACTAATGATTTCGGGACATCAAACCGGTGCCAAACGTATTTGGCGCAGTCGGTAGGATTATTGTTATCAGTGGGTTCTACAAAGCTATATACTTACATTTTTAGTGATAGCCTCCGTTACGTCATCCATAGTAACCTCGTATCCGGGATTTTCGTTCCCATTTTCATCCTCCACGTTTTCCAAATCTCTCAAGTCGTTCGCCTCTGGAATATCGCTTCCTTTCCTGTCGAGGTTAACTTCAGCAGTTGCTACAGTTAGCCTCTCTTCAATTTTCGACGGTTGCTCGTGGCTCTTCTTATGCCTTCTGTGTTTCTTGTGATGCTTGCGATGCTTACAGTTCTCGTATTTGCACTTGTGCTTCTTCTTTTTCTTCTTCTCGTCGTTCATGAGTTTCCGGCGCAGTTTCTTGTGCTTCTTCCTTTTGGTGCGTTTCTTGTCTCTGAGCTTCTCGTTGAGTTCGTCGATATCTTGGGCTGTCTTTTCTTCTGTTGGCGGTTGCGATTGTTGAGGATTCACGGGGACTAGAGTCGCAGTGAAGGGTTTCGTTTTCTCTTCCGTCGAAACGCTCGTGGATGCTCTTCTTCTCCTTTTGCATAGACTCAACAGAGGATTCGGGTCGTATTCTAGAAAAAAGACGAATAGAAATTTTACATTAGATTAGATTTCATTACCCTCGTGTTTCGAAAAACCTCACAAAGAAGCTTTATTAATGAGTTCAGTATGATATACCGGGTGGCTACGGAAGTATTGCCTACGGAATATCTCAATTATTGTATGAAGTAGGTTTGTGAAATTTGGAGCGTCGATACAATGACATAAGAGCTAGAATTTGAGCATATTGACATGTCGAAGTTAACTTCCGTTCTGACCGGAAGTAACATCAACTTTCTTATTTTAAATGGAAACCTTTTTTTTTTCTTTCCGCTTTATTCAGCATTCAATTCCTTTTCTAATGACATATCACAAGTTGGTATCTAACCAGAAACTAGATCAGAAAAAAAATATTATTGAAATTCACCGAGTAGGCCGTGGAAGCAAAATGAAAGCCTAAAACTGAAAAGTTGGCTATGAAAACCATACGTCACTTGATAACAGTTGCTACTACTGTGATATTTTATTTTCATTCGTCGGCGTTATAAAAAGCCGCCAAAAAAAATATTGGAAAAATTTGGAAAAAAACAATACTCTGTAGGTCCATAACTTGAATAGGAACATACAACTTTTTCTTGCCAGTACTATTCAGCATAACCATTCCTTTCTAATGATATAATAGAAAGTCATTTTTTGAAATGAAATACCAAAAAATCCAATTATTATTATTCTTTGAAGTTGAAAAATCTCAATTTTTCACACCCTATATCTGTAATCATTTCAGCTAGACTCCAACTGTGATAGATCGATGAAATCAGCTCGCCAGGGAGATTCTAAAAATGCAATAAAATAAAGGGTGTCCTATTGAAAAAATTATAAATGTTGCCCATAAGTATTTTTTGATATGTTCAACTGTTTTTCTGTTTACATATATGAAATCTACAGGAAAAAATATAAAAGAACGTTCCTTGAAAAACAATCTAACAATACATAAAAAAGTTAAGTGGGGGTTCAAAATATACGTGAAGACCCTGTACATTCAAAATGCATCATTATAGGTATTTGAAACATTATCCACCATTGGGAACTTTCAATAACTTGAACAGATAAATCAATTGGGAAAAAATACGCACAAATTTTACAACAGTATTGGGTGGATTCCTAATGATTCATTGACTAAAAGAAAATAACAAACAAGAGTATGCTATAACATTGATTGATTCAGTTGTAGTAATTTGTACCAAATGAGGTTTTTGATAGCTGCTTTGTTTGATCGCTACTCCATCAACATAAACAACATAATTTTACCACTGTCAAGAAGTGTACTGTGTACTATCATTTTTGTTTGTACACAAGAATTTCATTCAATTCAAAGTTTATTATATTATCAGTGATATAACAAAATGGCGCAGTCGGTAGGATTAAAATTCATTGATTGGCCGATGAAGTTGTCAAAGATTTCGTAAAATAATATCCTGTCCCAAATAAATGTATCAACGACATTCAAATTGACACAGGATCCAACAACCTCCTTCATTTTGTATATAATTTGTTTTTCATACCAATAATGGGGTAATCACTTGGTAACAGCCTGATATCTTCTAAAGCAATCGTTCCGCTATCTCCATCATCGAATTCCACCGAAACGAATTTCTTGTCGATCTGAGGGTGATGGGTACCAGGTTCAGCGACACTACCCGGATAAAGACACCTATACTGTTGGCTCCAGTAAGCACACAGTCTCGTACCAGCTGGAATGTCTGCGATACTCTTCGGAGATACCTCGACAATCTGCAATAACGTTCAAGAATTTTTTTGTGATGCATTTTTTATGGAAGCTAACAAAGAATTCACTGTATTGAATCATTACAAGGTGTCTGTATCAATTAGTAGTTAGATGCATGTAACTATTGACTTGGTAGCCATTTTGAAGTAGGTAGGAACTCTTGTTATGGGACACATTAGGTTGTTTGATAGGTGCTTGGGATCCAAGGGTACTAAAGTATAATCTGGCAGCTAAGCTACAAATCTAAGCTCTCCAAGCAACTGGAAAGGGATAGTAAATTGACTATGACTCGGTTATCGTAGAATACTGGTGAAAAATGAACGAAAAATGCTTTTTCCTTCTACCATATATGATAATGAATCATATCAACCCAAAAAATGTGACCGAAAGTAATGTATCTCGTCCCTTGTGCTTCTAAACTCATAACAACAGGATTTTGTATTTTTTCACTATCTTGACACCTTTGACCATTACTTGCGTGATGCGAATTTTGATGTTTTACATAAATTTTCATCAAACGTCTGTGTGAATCGAGGTTCGGAATCAAGAGAACAATTATGTTTCTGGTAGGCAAAAAACAGTTGAGTCACACATGCAGAAAACGCTTTGGCAGCCCTTAGCTACCAGCTACCCTCGCTCCGCTCGTGCAGCTATCATTTATAGTTGTAATCAAAAACGAAGAACGATATGATACTTAGAAAGCTTGAAACTAGGAAGAATTGTTTCACAAAGCACCCAAAAACTTTGTACTATATTAAATCTGGCAACGGCAAAAAACTACGGCCCCTGCTCGGGCGCCAAATTTGTGCGCAAGAAGCCCTATAGTAAGTAGAAATATTTAGACATAATAGATACTGGTCGAGGTACGAAATGGCTGAGGGGGAGGAGCAAATAATGATGATGACGTTTGACTCCTTCACTTTGGTTATTGAGAAATGTAGCATTACTATACTCTGAACACCATTAAAAGAGTGTGCGTGGAGATGGTAGAACATTTTTAGTTCAAACAATAAACGGATTGATATTTTAGTATGAGTGCTTCTATCGGATGAAGTTCATACGTAAAAAATACATCACCTTGAAGTATGTTTGTGATAGAAATTCCAACTATTATATATAAGACCATATTGCAACGGGTTTTAAGAAATATCATAAATTCGATAGAATGGAAAGTGTTATGTAAAACTCACCGCATCTCGTAGTATTTCCTCCCTGGACATGATGTGGGGTTTGTTGCCTCTTTCTCCATCCAATGTTATAGAATACACGTCTGGAGGTTCCAAAGCATTCAACTGGCCTGCGTAAAACAGCCCTCCCATCGCTGTAAGTACCCTCAGTTTGTTAACTTCTAGCAGTTGAGGCGTAAGGGTAAACCGAGAATCTGAAGGTTTCACGACGTTTTCCACAGTTTCCGCGATACCCGTACAGTCTTTGCTAGGTTCCTCCAAATCTAGAGCTACCTCATCATCTTCCGCTTCGAAAGTTTCCGTATGAAGTTTTGTGTTTTCATTGACTGAACTATCGACTGATTCTTCTTCAGCGGGTTTGTACTTGAAGTGATAGTCGGATTTGAGAGTGGCCTCCGCTTTTAGTTTCGGCCTAATTTTGGAACTCTTCATTTCCGAATCACCGTGATGGCTATGCCGTTTCTTAGGTTTGCATTTCATCGGCTCGTGCTCGTCCAAATACCTCAGAGGGGTAGCGTCAGAAAAACTTTTGCTCCTCTTCTTGAATTTCTCTTTAGCCTTCAGCAAACAACCGACGAAAGAAGTTTTAGGCTTCTTAGCGACTATGGTTTCAGTTGCGTCGTTTTCCCCTGAGAAAGACGCTAGCTTCTTCGGCTTTTCCACTTTCCTTTTCTTGGAAGAGGAATGTTTGATGGATGAGTTTGTACTATTATTATTGCTCTTGGTTACATCTGGAACTGAAACTTCCTCAACTTCGTCTCTAGGCTCCTCGGGTGTAGGTAAAGAAGCCATTCTGTCGCATTCAGTTGCGTCTATCGATTTACTCCTCGGGCACCTGTCTGCGCAAACCGGAAGATGTTCTTTCGTCTTCAGCTTGCTGAGCTCTTCCTGCTTCTCGCGATACTGCCGCTGCAGTTCCGCCAACTTTATCCTCATATCGAGCTCCATGGCATTCATGCAAGGCCACTCGCCGTCACAACAAGTCTGATGCGTTTTGCTGGCTATGAACTTTTTCACTTCCTCTTTAGATTCGGGCGTCTGGTACGATTTGTAGCATTTGGTCTGGCAAGAGCAGGGTTTCTTCTCCTCATCGGGTACGTTTCTGGTACTCGTGTTCTTCCTCTTTCTGTGCTCCTTGTCTTCATAGTAATGGTCTTCACTCCTTTTTCTCTTGCGTTCTGATTCAAAGGAAATCTTCTTGGACTTCTTCTTCTTCCTTTTGCGTTCTCGCGTCGCTTCTTTATCCAGCGCAGGTAGGTCGCTTTCTTCCATTATTCTTTGTTCTGCCAAAGCGCAAAGTAGATTCAATCCTCCGAGGCTGTCATTCGAAGGAGGCGGTATAGCTAAGGTTATATCCTCTTTGGGAGTCCTAGCTGCCTCTGCGGATGCTGGTAACTGTTCTGGCACCATCTCACTATCTTTGTAAGACTCGATTTCCATAATGCTATTGGTGAGTAGCTCCAGGCCGCTGAGGTCCGGGTTCTTCTTGCTCTCTTCCGCTGGTTCAAAGACTTCTGGTTCCAACACCTTGTCGAAGTTATTCGCTGGCTCCATCACTAAAGGCTCCGTAGCTTCCACTTGCGGTAACTCTTTGATTTCGTAGCATTCGACTGGATTTTCGGGGATGATTGTGGATGACTCTTCGGCACCCTTGATTTCGTTCGGGTCGCCTATGGTGTTGTCGTCCTCGCTGCAAATCGGCGTGTCAGTTTGGTTGCTGGCATCCTGGACAGTGGAAGATAATTGTTCGACTCTATTTGGAATTTCAGGTGGCGGAGTCAAACATGGTACCGGAGAAGTAGCTTGAGTCGAGGAATCCCCCGTGGGGGTTTGAGACAGAATCAGGTTTGTCGGGTGTTGGTAGATCACGTGGGTGGTGACCAGAGGCGCCATATTGCCGGAACTGATGGCCTGTATGGACTTGTTGGCCTCGTTCTCGATTTTGATGAGGGGCATCTTCTTTTTGGGTTCTGCGGTGAGGGTGACGAGCCTGGTACCGTGCGTTTGGGTGTGTTGGTGCATCGTGGTACTGCTGGAGAGGTATTCGGAAGATGCGGAGGATAGCAGTTGTAACGGTGGTGGAGATATCTGCGACAGGGATGGCAAGAGCATGGGGGGCGGTTGTTGGTAGCCTGGCCAAACTACGGTCTGTTGGAGCGGTTCTGCAAAGTGGAGGGTGGAGAGAGTGACACATTATGAAGCACTACCCCCTATGACTATTTTATTGTTGACAGTACAGACAAATTTAAGACAGCCTCATATTAGATTCAATTTTTAATAGAACTGAAAAAGAATTGAAAAGAGTTTTTCGAATATACTCCGACAATATTTTTACTTTCTATACTTCCCAATATATGAACTTTCAAAACTAACACGGGGCCCTTTATTTGTCGAGAACCCGTTTAATTACTTATAAACCCGATTTTTTTACTACACAGTAAAAAATCCTATGAAGTAGAGTTTTTCATTGAAATAGAATGCACAATTAGTTTCCTCAAGAACTCAAATTTTGTTGAATTTCAGTCAAAATTGTGTATATAATTTCTCGAACATTTTTCATACTTCTGAGAATTTTGTGTTGATATAATTCAGAGGGTATAGGTTACTCAATCCGGTGTAAACCTGAATGGACGAGTTCAGCAATTCATTGCCAACCTTGAAAATAGCTAAAAACGCCTACCACTTAAAACAGATTATTTTCATAAAATATTGATACCATTTTTATCCTTATCGATTTTTGTGTCATCCAGGAAGTCCCCGGTATCAGAGTCTCTGGAAATTATGAAAAGATTGATATCAAGTTGACGTTATTCCAGTTATCATATTGCCCAGGCAACCAGATAACGAATGATCACGTCACTGTGACCTCCCTATTTGGTGATTTTTCGTCAAAGACGTCACACACCAATTTATGACGTCACTATGACGTACTTTCTATGAAGTGATAATCACGTCATCGTTTCGACATCGAGTGAAAGTCACTCAGAGGGGTAAAAGAAGACGTCAGTTTCATGACGTTGCAGGGACGTCCTGTCGACGTCCATTTTCTCCAGACTTTCTCTAAACCTTGGATACTAATACAGTGTCAATCATAAAGTCGGCATCATATTGGAAAAACTTTTATTAATGACTCATTTTGAAATTCGAGTTGGACGTCGAGTTTTGTTTCAAACAAGATAAAAAATGGCATACTCAATCGGGGTCACGTGACTTTCGCTACATGTCAAAAGTGACATTTTTTCAAATTAATCGCTGAAAGTAGGCTTATTTGTTCAATATCGAAGAAGTTTACTCGAAAAAGTTGTTTCTATTCAAATTTTACATATGTGACTCGGATTTTATCTTTCTATTATAATCAAGTTATCAAAAAGATGTAAGAGTTCTGTCGTTAATGAAACATGATTCTATTTAAGAAATAAAAAAAATAGTCCACTCGCCAATTCCAATTTTTTCATCGCTTGGAGCACACGAAAGGAAATCCCTATAATGTTTATTTCATTTGATAATGAAAAATCATCTTTCGATTCAAAAAGAGATAAAAATCCTGTGGAACTTCTTTTTTATTGTTGTACTGTCAAAAATGAAAGTAATAAAAGGGGTATCATCCGGTACATTTGTTATCCAATTTGAATCCTCAGAATGACTTGAAAGTAGAAAAAAAAGTTGATGTTCAATATAACCTACACTACGAATTGATTTACATTATTCCCCGGTGCAGTGCCGGATTAAGCCAGCGCGGGCCTGTAGCAAATTATATCGAATGGGCCCTTGGTTTGCTTTAGGTTGTCAGGTTAAGGAAATGGAATAAAATAAAACAACACTATTACAAATGAACTTTTCTGAATTTAATATGAGCAAATTTAGAGATAACACGTTCAATATCGACTTCTTCAAGCAAATCATGCTCTATATCCATCAAAGTGAGATGATTCAGACCAATCCTGTTCCTTATTTAATTTTGAATACGTTCAGATGTCAAAAAAGAAAGTTCGCCACTACAGTTAGTGATCATGAGAAACAAGTGTAAATTCGCAAGGCAATTTCTACGTTTGGGAAACACGATTCTAAGGAACTATATAAAAGTTTATAAGATTGCAGTTCCAGAGGCTCCTCCAGAGGTTTGTTGCTGTGAATGACAGTATAGCCACATTCGTTTGCAGCAGCTCAGCGAACTGCACTAATTCGTCGCCTAGGCTGGTTTCCAAATTATCTTTGTAAGCACTGACCATTATTGAGGATTTTTCCAAAATCTCTCTTGTTGTCAGAGATTTTATCTGTCCAAATACTCCAAAAACACTACTAATTTTATGATAATTATGCTTCATTGCGTTTAGTTAAAGCAGACAAGTACGTTATCAATAATGACAAAAAACACTTGAACTCCAAAACGTTGTCCAGGTGCTCCATTTTTGACAATAAACACCTGAACTTCTAAAAGTTGTCCAGGTGTTTGATTTTCAACGACGTAGTCGACTGTGGATACAGCCGCAAAATTCCGTCTTGATAGGCTTGTTCGCGTTCATAATATAAACAGTCCGAAATCATCAGGAGCATGCGCAGTTTCACAAAACAGTACGCATTTTTCAAGTTCCGTGGAACTGCGCATGCTTCTGATGGTTTTGGACTGTTTATTTTTCGAACGCGAACAAACCTAGTCTGTTATTGCTGGTATATTATCGCTTCGCGACCCGCGTTCAAGGCATGCAAGATGTTTCTCCAAATTTCAATTTTATAGTTAGGCCAGACAGGCGTTAGAGCGCGGGGCCCCAATTCGCGTAGCATTTGCTACTCTTGCTACGTGGCTAATCCGGCACTGCCCCGGTGTCTTGATAATAAATTCGATGTTACAAATTATTATAACAAATATCAAACAAACCTATTCCTGTTGTAGGAAGAAGAAGAAGACCACCTGTTGAGGGATCTCGGACCAGTTGGAAACCAACCGGAGGGACAGGTACTGGAAGTGAAACAACTGGTTCCACTGGAAGAGATGCTGAAAAGAATCAACGTTCCAAAATCCACGATCCAGTGCTCAGCGACATTAAATTCCAAAGTGGAATGAAATGTTATTGAATAAATACAAAAAGGTCAATGTATAATGTTCATAAAATGAACAACAATGGTTAGATTTCGGGAGAAAACCAACTACTTTTCTGGCTAATGCCACGCATCCTTCCGAAATCTATGCATCGACTCGTATAAACGAATACTGATACAAGTGATTCTTTCCTGAATGCCTATTGATTTCGATTTAGCCAGGCCACGCTAGACACCTACAGACCGGTTTCGAGCTCTTTGACACTCATCAGTCAAGGGCAGTCTCCAGCCAGCAATCCTAAGACCGCCGAGTAAGCGTAGTCTGGCCGAACAAAAATCAGGTGGACATTATATTCCCTCATCAGAAGCGGCCTTTATAGAAAATATAAGAGCAACGCTATCTGAGTAGAAAAGAAGAAAAGAAGCACTCCGGATTTTATGTTATACATGTTTTTCTCAATTTAAAAATTGACAGATGTCATAATTGTGTTGCCATCTATCCGAAAACAGCACTGAAAACATTGTTCTCGGGACTCTCGGGAGGTCGAGAAGAATTTCTAAAATAAAAGCGCATCAGTAAGTACACCATCTACTTATTTCCATCATTCTTAAGACAAAGGAAGAATCTTGAATCTTGAATCTAGCGCCACCTATATAATCTTTTCAAGATTTTTATTCTTAGGGAAAGGAACTCTTTATTGACACTCAAGCCATGATAATGTTCAGTGAATAATCTGGAGTCTTCGACTGAGTATATCTGGGAACTTAATGGATTTCTTTGAATGAAGCGCGTTTCTTTGAATGAAAGGATTATTTTTTTCAGTGTATATACAGGGTGTCCCTAGACCAGTGGGACAGTTGAATATCTCCTGAACCAATAGGAATTTTCAAAATATTATAATTTCACATCATATCGCATTATGAGTGCTAACTTCAGGAATAACTTTATTTTATACGAGGGGCGCAAGAAAGGCTCACAAAATCGAACATCAATTTTTTCGAATGGAACACCCTGTATTTCATTGCATTTTCATATTCTCCTTGAAGAGCTGAATTCAACGACCTAGCACACTTCGGGTCTAGCGGGAATGATTTCCGAGATATAGGGTGTGGAAAATCGAGATTTTTCATTTTTGGGAATTCTGACTCAGATTTCTACACCACCCTGTATTTGTTTCAATTAAATACGAGTGAACAGTAGATCAAAAGTTATGATATGGACTAGTAAGCCGTTTCGACCAATAATGAATAGTTTTGACAGAAAAAATTCCCAAAAATGAAAAATCTCGATTTTCCACACCCTATATCTCGGAAATCATTCCCGCTAGACCCGAAGTGTGCTAGGTCGTTGAATTCAGCTCTTCAAGGAGAATATGAAAATGCAATGAAATACAGGGTGTTCCATTTGAAAAAATTGATGTTCGATTTTGTGAGCCTTTCTTGCGCCCCTCGTATAAAATAAAGTCATTCCTGAAGTTAGCACTCATAATGCGATATGATGTGAAATTATAATATTTTGAAAATTCCTATTGGTTCAGGAGATATTCAACTGTCCCACTGGTCTAGGGACACCCTGTATATGAGACTTTTGTACTTGAACTTCATAATCCTCAATCGAGCAAACATTCAAGAAACCATTCATTTCTGAAACAATATTTTTTTCCAACTCTTGGAGTGCATGAGAGGAAATTCCTATAATGTTCGACATTTGTATATCTATAGGGAGGATAGGGAGAGGCCGTTTAAGCCAATTTAACACTATTTTTTATATTAAGCTAAGCATATTACAACTTGATGTTTGCAACATGTGCGCGAAATAATTTGGCAATCTCGACTATTTTTTCACTTGGCTGCGACTCGTTATAAAAATCAGTTCTTGTTCACCAAAGTAGCACCTCGCGTACTAGATACAAAATAGCTATTTTTCTAGAAATTAGTGTTTTTGCCTATTCTTCAGTTCTTTAGTAGAATCTATAAACCCAGCATAATCGTCACGGTCACGTAACGTAATCGTACACTCACCGGGATATTGCCACAGAGTGGGCGCGGCCAGCGCCTGGCTGCAGGCTCCGCCCACCTGCCAGGCGGTCAATCCGGAGGCCCTGTCGTCGGCGGAGCACTGGATGACGGCTCCGCCCATATTCGAGCCGGCCGTCATCGAGCCGGGGCCGTTCGCCATCGACGGATCTGGAAGATTAAGTGAGGCTGCAGCGTTGCCGGACGGGGCGGTTTATCGGCGTTTTAGGTACCGTAAACTAGGGTGCCGCGGATATCTCATTACACGCTCTAGAAGAGTGCGGACACATGGGGTGGGCGATAGTGATTTTGGATTATCGATAATCACAATGTATCGATATTATCAAAATTGTCGATGTTATTGAAGTTATCGATATTATCGATAATTTTTATGAATTTTCGATATTTTTTGCATTGAGTACTCTAAAAGGGACATTGGGCCTGCTACGGGTAAAAAGCGAACAATACACTATACAGGCTGATTCACGGTGAATGGTACATTAAACGTTTCTGGAGAACACAAATTATATAGGATTATTTTGAAAATGTGGTTCCTTGAATAATTAGTTGTGTTCCATCGACCTGATATATTCTCAGCACTGCGACGTTGCCGCTTATATTGAAAACAACTTTGATTTTTTTAATGCGGCACCCCGTAAATCATTCTGTTTATCTGTTTTCAGATTCTCCCTGAAGAGCTGATTTCATCGATCTTTCACACTTGGGGTCTACCGGGAATGATAACAAAGATATAGGGTATAGGTCAAGAATTTTTTGTGTGTCGAAACTATTCATTATTGGTCGAAACGGTTTCCATGTCCCTATCTCAACTTTTCACGTACTATCAATTGATATTTAATGGAAATAGATACAGAGTGGTCAAAAATCTTAATTCTGAACCACCCTGTATTTATTTTAATTGAATGTCAATTGATAGTGAATAAAATGTTGAGATGGGGACATGAAAACCGTTTTGACCAATTATGAATAGGTAGTTTCGACAAAAAAAAATCCTAAAGTTGAAAAATCTCAACTTATCAAATCCTATAACTCTGTAATTATTACTGCTAGACTACAAGTGTTATAGGTCAATGAAATCAGATCTTCAGGAAGAATCTGAAAATGAAATAATATACAGGGTGTCTCATATCAAAAATCAAAGTTGGTGCTACTTTTCAATATAAGCGGCAACGTCGCAACGCTGAGAATATTTTGATAGAACACAACTAATTATTCAAGGCACCATTTTTTCAGAATAATCCTGAGTTGCGTTCTCCAGAAACGTCTAATATCTATGGTCTAATGTGCCATCCACCGTGAATCAGCCTGTATATACTACATTCCAAATAAGAAGATAGTATAGGTGGCGCTTCTTCATATCCAAAATTATGCGAGAATTTTAATACCTACACGAAAAATAATCGGAATTTTATGATGCGGACATCTTCCCATAAAGAAAACTTCAACCGTCACTTCTTAAGTCATAATATTAGGCAAGTATGTGTTATATTGCCTCCGATATTAACCAACGCTTCCCTGTGACTTCCAATGCTGATGTCTTCTTAGTTGGAATGGACTATAGGAGTGGGCGATTACAATCAAAAACCAACGAATAAAATTATCGAAAATTATAGAAAATCATCGAAAATATTATCGATAACTATCGATAATTTCGATACTATCGATATTTTCGATACTATTATCGATTATTTACGCGTAATTCATCAATAACAGAGAACAAGAAGCCTAATGACAGTCTCAGTTCTAGTTCTATCAACTCTGACCTTACGTCTCAGTTGTCAGTAAAGCGCGATCTGGAGTACAATAAATAATGTTAGCCGTTCATTACAGTGTTGTAGGATTTGTTTTCATGGACATACATTTCACGAATCAGATATGCGAGTTAACGAAAAAAATGCGTTATACCTATGATAAATAATTGACATAACATGACACTTATATGTGTATGACTGAGATGTTTGTAAGTAGGAAATATCTCATGTATGACAAATGTTACAAAAAAGAATTATTGACTATTTGTTACCTACTAGGTATCTAGTTTCTGAAAGAGTCATTTCCGACGGAATTCCACCTTAACAAGGTAAATAGGTACTATTACAGATGAGTGAAAATATTAGGGCCGTTCGCCATCGACGGATCTGGAAGATTCTGAGTCTTTCGCGTTTTGTGATGAATGATTGACATCTAAATATCTAGACTGTCTGACGGGTTATACAGACAGTCTAGATATTTAGCCGTCATTGATCTGATTATTCGCGAGATTCACAAGGTTGACAACTTGTCATCTTACTGCCTGTGACGTCGAGTGACCGTTTGCCCCCTTGCCGCACTATCGATCGAGGCAACCTTCCTATACAAATTATAATCAGTTCTACCAACCTTGCGATATTCACGAAGTGGGCGACATCTAGGTTACATAATACGAACTTAAAACTGGGGGAAAACAAACTGTTGTCTATGGATAAAGTGCATAGACTACATTGCATTCAGCTTGCTGTAGCTGTAGTCAAACTTTTCAATGACATAAAGTGATGGCACTGTTGGCAGTGATGATGAATGAGTAAGTCAATTTTTTTACTTTATCACATTTTTATTAGTTCAGTGAATAGTGAACGGGTGGGGAATTGGAGGTAGATCAAACAATTCAAACTAATTATGACTAATTGAAATATGAAAGAACAGCTACAGCATGTTTACAATACCCAGATTATCCTGCTTTGCAGAAACAAATACAAATTAAATGTTCTACAGGAGTTCCTCTGGACCCCAACTTCAATTTTACTCCATGTGGGGAAGATTTCATCGCGGAAGTTTGTAGACAAAGTGCAAAAATAAGCCTTTTGTTGAAGTCTTCTGCCTCACATAAAATCACATAATCATCACGGAGAACTGCTTCTCCTTCCACCACTGGTCGGCTTTTTCCATCTAAATAGAGCAACATATCTGCCAAAAGAACATCTACAACAGGCGTTTCCGATCAAATATCGACAATTAATGTCAAGAAATTCAAAAACTTATCACTCTCAGTACATAGTACACAAGCTAATAGCACTAATGGGATTGAGTGAGGATTAAGTTTGTTTTCCCCCAGTTTTGACGTGGCTTTGACATGGACGATGAAAACCGAGCGCCACCTGGTGAAATTGATTCCCGCGACTTGAAAGTTTTATTTCTGAAGGAATTCCATCATCACAAGATACAATAATGATTGAAAATATTTGATTGTTAATGTTACAACTATAGGGTGAAGTTGTTTCAGTTTAGGTTTCTTCGATAAAAAATTCAAGATTATCAAGACTTGTGCGAGAGATTAACCAAACATTAAATTATTCGGCATCAGACCGTTGATTGATATATTATAAGCGTAATATATCAATCAACGATCAGACCAAACTAAATTATGAGCCACTATTCGAATCAAAATATAGGGAATCTGTGAATTTTAACGACTATAGGCTAATGGAACTTTGTCACACTAGTACTAACTCAGTACCTTTGGTAATGACAGAAAATTATTGTACATTTCAAATAAGTGAGATAATAATATGTGGCGCTGGCTAAATAAGAATATGGCGCCTTATTCAAAATCGTGGTCGTGCTAATGACTGAATGGGGAAGTTTCCTTCAGATGAATTTTCATAAAATAAGTTCGGAACTCTCCAGTTTTATGTCTACGCTGTACAGAATGGCGACCGATAAAGTCCAAGTCGTTTTCATTTTCGAATTAAAGCAATTTCTAATTTTCGGGATGGCAAATCGTGACGTACATTCTGAATCTAGTCTGAAAATAGCTGATGGTGAAGAATATAACTAGCGAATAGCTAACGAATAGCTAACGAATGAAAAACGAATAAAAAAAATAGAAGAAGTAAAACTGGTGAACAAAAACATACATAACCGAGCAGGTTGCTTTATTCTGACAGGTTATGGTTTTGTTATTTATGCATTGAAATATCGCGAATAGAGCTCGACCCATAACGAAAATATAATTGAATGAATAAATCACTATCGGCTACATTCAATGATACTATCCTTCCTAACTTCCTGCCATCGCTCATAACAGAATGAAGCCGACACCCATGGCTCCTTCCTCTTGTTATGCCTGTCAGTATTCTGAGCGGTGTGGTCGGACTCGAAGTATTAGGCGCTATTGTGAGATATAATCTGCAACTTTCCTAGGAGATGAATCCGTTTAATCCAAGAACGAATTCATTAGCAAAAAATGACTGACAAGTTATGAATAACATATCGTCTTATAACGATAGTGAAAAATTATAGATACCATTGCAAAATACCATAATTTATCTTTATTAGTAATCAACTTCATTCAGCCAATGAGAGATTTATATGGAAATTATTTACAATACTCGACAAAGTGGGATTGAAGAACCTATTATATCCAATATTGCTGTTATGATATAGTTATTATGCATTCAAAGAACAATTTCCGGAAATCTAGACATATCGATGATGTCGGCAACATCGTACTGGCACAGGGAATCGTATTTTAACTCTGTGTGAATGTGGATTTTCAGAAAGTACGTCATAGGAATGGTGGAGGAGCCATGTTCCTCTTTTATTTATTTTTTCTGAAGTGATATTTGATCTCACGCAAAAAAGAAAAAATACATATGTATCAATTTCTTACAAACATCACGGTGAGATGAAAACCATAATATAGGAAATTTCCCCATTTTTGCATGTTCTCAGGATTATTGTATCATCAAATAATACAAAAAATAAATGAAACTCTGACCGTAACGTCACGAAATAAAACAGGTATGATATTGCCTACAATATTAACTAATCAAAGTGAAGGTCAGAGCTTCGCTATGGTTTCGAAAGCTGTCTTCCTAATTGGAAAGGACTGGTTACAGTCTGATGCAGTATCGAATCCATATATTACACCACGGGAGAAGTTAATTATAATTATTCATTATGGAAGTCACTGGGTATAATTTATTCTACTACTATACTAGCTAAAGTCGACTCTTAACGAAAATCTAACAAAAAACTTCTTCCGAACTGGAAGATTGCTTGACACTGGACGGAAGTGTGGGCCTGTTTCAGTGAAAAAAATTATTTTATTATTTCGAACTGCTCACCCTTACTATACTTCACTGTCGCAAACCGTTTTATCGTCAGAGCTCTGTATAGGTACATTTTTAAATAATTATTGAAATAAACGATATTTCATAACATGAAAAACGAGTGACGAAATCATCCGTGAACAATTCAATGCAACCATACATAAGATTCGACTTACGTATCCATTCCCAATTTCTGTAAGACAAGTGCAAGAATATTTCTGATTGTCATTTCAACCAGAATATCAAATACATTTTCTGGACTGAATACTTACTGCAGATAACAGAGAACACAACACACAACTGAAGAATCAGATAATATGAGGATTATCTTCGCAGTATTCGTTAGATTTGACCATGGATTTGACTAGATGATAGGTTTTGACGATTATGGTGACAGACAAGACTGACGCTTGGAGATTGGATTCGAATAATTCTTCTTCATTGATATTTGTATGAACTCTAGCATTACGTTGTTGCCAGAGTCACAAAAAAGTTTATGTTGAAATAAAATCATAATAAGGAATATTTTAATATTATGACTGAAACTAGTGACACTGATGCATCTTGCAAGGTATATAAGTAATCAATGAATGATCATCAGGAACCAGCAGGTGGATTGGCTTCTGTGAATGTGAATACTATTGTCACTGGTGGTATTGAATCTAATAGGGTAATTACAAGTTATGAATCTGGCAACGTCAAAATATTTGATGGTTGTTACCGTATCAACGACCTCAGTCACTATGATGATCTAGATTTCGGGGAAAAAAGTGGTACTTTCCCTAGGGATTCAATATATATTTTAAATCCCTAGGGATTCAAAGCAGCACTTTTTTCCCTGAAAATAGGGATTTGAAGTACTCTCATAAAACAAAGTAATTCCCAATAGGTTGACAAAAATCTGACCGATCTAGTCAACAAACAACACATTTAATAACTTTCAGCTTCCAACACGTTCTGTGTGTATAGACGATGTTATAGAGACAGATGGGTCCACTCAAGATGATCAAGTGCTTCTAGAATTTGAGAAGGACCAACTCTGAGGGGGCATACACCAAGTAATTAATCCCTTAGGACACACAGTTTCAAAGAAGATGTTATTGAAGAAGTGCAAGTGCCTGAGACTGCAAAAAACAAAGTAATTCCCTATGATGGGACAAACCTAACAACAAACAACGCTTTCAACAGCCAAGATTTTCCAGCTTCACGCTGTGTGGAGACGATGATATACAGAAAGATGGACCAACACAAGAGGATCAAGTGCCTCTAGAATCTGAGAGGGTCAAATACCATAAGTAATCCATGGATAGAAACTAACCGATCTAGTCAACAAACAACGCCTGTATCAACTGAAAGTTTTAGAGAGGATTACATGCTGTCTTTGGAGACCATGTTACTTAAGTAGCCAAGCAGCCATCAAAGCGTTGACCTCTTCTAACATCAACTCGAAGATGGTATGGGAATGCCTAAGAAAATTGGATGAGCTAGGCAGTAACAATAAAGTGATCCTCCTCTGGGTGGCAGGGGCATATCGGAGTGGAGGGGAATGAACAAGTAGACACTCTGGCACGACAAGGGGCCTCAACGCCACTGATCGGACCAGAGCCATTCTGCGGCCTTGGAAATTTCTATTTCCAAAGAGAACTTGAGAAGGCGAAAGGAGCCTTGAGAGCCAGACAATGGAGAAGTTTTCCAGGACTGAGAAAGGCTAAAGATCTCCTCGGAAATTTCAGCCGAGAAAGATCTAAGACACTGATAAACCTCACCAAAGGAAGTCCCAAAGCAATAACGGGATTTCTAACGGGGCATTGCATACTCAAAGAACACCTAAGGAAGCTAGGCTTACAGGAGGACGGCACCTGCAGATTCTGTGAAGAAGAACAAGAAACACCCCATCACATACTGATGGAGTGTGGCGCTGTACATCACAAAAGATTGAACACACCAGCTGTCTGTCGGATCAGTGCCTAATAGATCATAAGCAGCTGACTGGAAGTAAAATAGCTCCTGATCCGAAACAGAAAACCAATTTTTTGGGATGCACTTTTCGCAATTGATCTCACGTGATTTTCCGATGAAAGTACATTGCTGATAGTAATACCAAGCAACGAAATGGATGTCTTCAAAGGTATTGTTACTCCTGACAAGCTTATGTTGGGCACAGTGGGATCGGCTTTTCTAGAGAAAAGGCATGAAAAGGCATGCTTGTGTTTTGTTTGCATTGAAATCTACCAAGTTATTGGATCCACATTCGAGAATTGTTGCCAAGTCCATATTTATGTTGTCAACATTTCTTTCTCGTTCATTTCTGATTTGCCTGGTTGATATTGGAGCCTTGGAAGAGAAGGCGGTATGGAGGGTACTATCATCCGCGAAGCTGTGTACTGGACAATGAAGTTGCTTCCAACAAATCGTTGATATGGAGTAGAGATAGTGTTGGTGCTAGAATTGATGCTTGCGGAACACCAGCATTTATGATAAGAGAGTCAGATGAAACTCCGTCGACCACTACATGGAGAGACCTGTTTGAGAGAAAACTAGCTAGCAGAGAACATAGCTGGGGAGGCGAGCCATAAGATGGAAGCTTGGCGAGGAGTCCGTGGTGTCAGACTCGATCGAATGCCTTGGAGATATCAAGTGCCACGGCTAAGGTTTCACCATATTTTCGATAGATTGCTGCCATATATGTGAGACGTAAGCGAGCAGGTCACCAGTTGATCTCTGATGACGGAAGCCATATTGCCTATCGTTGATAATACCTGAATATTCCAGGTATTTCATGAGCTCGAAGTTGATAGCTTGCTCCATGATCTTTGAAATAATAGATAGCAGTGCGATCGGTCTGTAGTTGGTATTGGTATTGGTAGGTTGGATGGTGACAGATGCGCTGCGACCCAATTAGATCTATTGTGCCCCATCTGCTCCTGCTATATCAAGGATTTCTTGTTCATAGCAGCCCCTCGAGATTCAATTCCTTCAGGAATTTGAGGATTTTGAGGGGGTCTAGCTGTGGTATTTCTTCCACAGTCAGCTGGTGTGTTCCCAGTATGTTCAATCTTTTGTGATGTACAGCGTCACACTCCATCAGTATGTGATGGGGTGTTTCTGGTTCTTCCTCACAGAATCTGCAGGTGCCGTGCTCCTGTAAGCCTAGCTTCCTTAGGTGTTCTTTGAGTCTGCAATGCCCCGTTAGAAATCCCGTTATTGCTTTGAGACTTCCTTTGCTGAGGTTTGTCAGTGTCTTAGATCTTTCTCGGTTGAAATTTCCAAGGAGATCTTTAGCCTGCCGTAGTCCTGGAAGTCTTCTCCATTGTCTGGCTCTCCAGGCTCCTTCCGCCTTCTCAAGTTCTCCTTGGAAATAGGAATTTCCAAGGCCGCAGAATGGCTCTGGTCCGATCAGTGGCGTTGAAGCCCCTTGTCGTGCCAGAGCGTCTGCTTGTTCATTCCCCTCCACTCCGATATGCCCTGGCACCCAGAGGAGGGTAACTTTATTGTTGCTGCCTAGCTCATTCAATTTGCTTAGGCATTCCCATACCATCTTCGAGTTGATGTAAGGTCTGTAGTTGCTAGGTGGGCCTTTTTGCCTTTTTTAGGAACTGGTTGTACTCTTGCAATTTTCCAGTTGGACGGGAATATCCCCAATTTGAAAGAGTAGTTGAACAACTTGCAGAGAACAGGTGTTAGTTCGGGAGCACATTTCTTTAGAACTATCGGTGGGGTTCCGTCAGAGCCATAAGCTTTGTTGGTGTTGAGACCCAATAAAATCTTCCATATAGTACGTTGGCGAAAGGTAATCTCGGGCATACGACTGTCAATTGGCGTTATGTTTGGAGGATGTTTTCCCGATGAATCCAGAGTGGAATTTCCAGCAAATAAATAAATATGAATAAAGTTATTATTATTAATATTGTCTTCAACTTACAGCTAGTACGTAGAGCGATCCCCTCATCCCTGCGGCATGGCGAGGCCAACTCCAATTTGACTATAGGCGGCGCGGTGCCGTACGCGTCCGGCTCCTTCTTGACGTCCACCGCCGACCAGTCCAGCGGGTTGGTCCTCGAGCATCCTTTCACGGCATCTTGATATCGCAGGATTTTTATCGGAGGCCCCACCTGAAACAAATGTTATCGGATATACCTGTGCCATATTGTCACGAATAGGGTTATTTTTCATTCATTCATTCAAATTCATACAAGGTTCGAAGTCGCGCCTTTGTTTATTAATTCCAAAAATTTCGAATCGTGAACGAACTTTTTTTCCATAGTTGAACATAAACACAGGCGTGACATTGACTTCAACGAACCTGGACTATCGACCTGATTTCCTTACTGCCACGTTTCCGAAAATAAAGACAACTATTTAAAAGACGTAAGGAAGCGGGTTCGACAGTTCGACTACCGGTAAGGCTGCGAGTTCAACTGACATTTTTGAGTTCTAGCTCTGTTTTTGTTATACGAGTTAGGGAAGTATAAGTTCTACCGATTGTAAGTTTGTAAAGTTGCCACTGTGCCTGAATCTTCGGAGTTCGGGCAGAACAGAAGATGACCTTCCTCTAAGGTCCCAGCAATATTATCTTTCAATGTACATATAGGGTAAGTTAAGGTTTTATTTAATTGTTATTCATTTCCAAGAATAAATGTGTGTATATGTGTTGTTTGAGAACTTTCCGAGTATTATTTATCATTAGCACTTTTGAAGTTCATTCTCTAATGGATCTAGAACACAACTTAGGCAACCCCCGCCTACAGTTTGTGACAATATTGTCAAGAAGTATAAATGCCTATGAATTAACACCACTCAAACCCTCGTTCGTTTCAAGATCTCTTACCATAAATTACCTTTTCCAAATTGAAACATCCAGTACATTGTAGTTCGATCAGGCCAGCGGAGTTCATAGACATCATTTCCTTTATAATTTGCAAAGAAATCGCTTACCGCGGCGATAATACCTAGGTAAGCGGTATCGAAAGGTAACGACCGTTCCCATTGGGGAAAATTGCGAACCTAGCATCGATTCCGAATATAAATAGTACCCGAATCGATGAGGCATTCATTAATTATCGACACAAGTCCTTTTAGTGATCATCAAATGAAAATGTTCGCCGTCTCCCCAACTCCAAGCCTGCTGGTCAACCCTCTGCTAGACGTTTTAATGTAAGTACTGTTTTTTCAAAGTGTTGTTTTGCGTGGTTTCTTTTTTCTTTGCTAACCTGCCATGGGGTAGCATTTATTCATGATTTCCTCATTAAATCAATAAATGTCAATTTTATATGAAAACTGTCCGGTCTCTTTATTTGGGGATGAATAGGGTTGGATGGTGAAATGATCAAAGCCTCTTGTCAAAAAGCCAAGCGAGTAGCTGAGTCACGACCTATAGGAGGGTCAACATCTGAGTTGCGACAATATAAGGACAAAGGTCATGTACTTAAGGCCAGCACTATGTTATAGCCAAGATAAGATTCAAATATTCATTTCCATAGCCGGCATGTACTGGTACCTTCTTATCCTATGCATAAACCAATTTTGAACTTTTGGAACGAGACTATAGATGGAATAACCGGATGCACGCATTCGGTGAATTTCCCGTTACAATATTGTTGATAACCTCAGATTTAAGTAGACAAGAGAGTCCAGGGACGGGCCCATGGAGTCCACCCCCTCCCAATCCTAGGTGGGTTGGCAAATTGAGTTTGGGAAAGTTTCACAAAAAAACATTTCATACTTCTTCTTTTATGGCCAGAGCACGGAAGTAGTGACATGTGGGATATTAGATATTATCTTAGGTAAATGTTCCTGTCGTGCTTCTGTGCTCTACTGCTCTGTATTGACTGTATTCGAGAATTTGGCATTGAGAGAAGATGAAATTGAAGGAGAAGGAAAAGGAAAAATAAATGGGAATTATCTGTTTCAGTCATTTGTACCATATTTCTGATCCTCCAGGTAAAATTAAGGAAATTGTTTCAATGAATAATTTTCCAGACATAACCTCAAAATACCTCTGATAGAGATTAGATTATATTCATTCCTTTAATTATCCAGAATAAATATAGCAACCAGTATTCCAGGCTGAACCCAGAGTTTGTGATTAGAGCCTACATACTCTTGGCTGATCCAGGTCTGATCAATAACATTGACCTCTACTTTACTGTAGGCAACGAGGTAAGTCTTTCCTGTGCCTTTCTTCACTGTAACTACTCAGTACTCCTCACAAACGCAGTTTGTAGGAGTAGGTGAAGTAAATCACCTTCATAAAAAATCTGGCGCCCGAGACATGCCAGAGTGAGGGCCACCCTGGACTACAGCTGTCAAAGTCCATATTTTATTGGCTCCTTTGTTCCATTCCCCTTACATTTTGTCATAAGCTATTCATGCCGAGCCGGATGAGATGTTTTATCCAAAAAATCCTCTCCAATAATGGATTCGGCAGCGGTTCCGCGAAGGTCCTTTGAATGTGATGTATTTTCCGCAGAAGAAATAATTCACTCTTTTTAACTAAACTGATGAACAAAAGAAACGTCGTGGCTGATTTCAGAATCGAATTACTCATGAATCCCATGACTAATTTCTATTCGGTTTTTACAGTTGGCTAGCCCAATTGTTCAGTTACTCGCAGAGCAATATGAAACTGCGAATATTCCAGATGAATGATTTACAGAATGATAATTACACTACTTCGTAGACTTGCAGCGGTTTTTTTCGACCATAATCATGAAGCTTGATGTCTTTTCTAGAAGAATGTCGAACATTGGCACCAGTGAGTGTGTGTGAGAGAGAGACAGATAAATAGAGAGAAAACGTGAAACTTCACAAATGATAAGATTTCCACAAAAGTCTCAAACACACGATATGTTTTGCTAACACATATCTACATTAAAATACGGTGTACCGGATTAACTTGAAAGGTTTGATAGCAAATACACATTATTACTTACTAAAGAAACAAATTCAACAGTGGTGAACTATTGAGGTCTAATTGAACGTTAAGGAAAATGGGAGAATTTTTGAGTTTGTTGATTTCTAATGATTCAAAATGATTGAGTTTCATTCCTTTATTGTCTACGTGTAGAATTTTGAAATTATCATCAAAACTATGGTTTTCTTCTAATATACTGTTGGCCTATGTTGAATTTGTTTTCTCTTTCAAAAAATTTACTCATGTTCATGAATGCGCTGATCAAAACGTACGACCTGTTTGACCGATATATAGGGTGTCCCACTAAGGTCAGCGAGGTACGATATCATGGAAACCATAAACCTCAGGACTTCGAGGCAAAAAAATTAAGGACTAAATCGGCCAAGAAAAATTGATAGAGAATATTTTCAAGTTCATAAAACGACCGCTAGAGGGCGCAATCTTTATGATAAAACTAAAAATTGAATTTTTCTCTAAAACCATCATATTCGGGTCGATTCTGTTTGCACATTGCTATGAACCTTGCCATCCTAGTCATATTGCTATCTTCCTAATTCATAACAATATGGCATTGATATAATCTATTCTGATCTGACGTTTATAGCAAGATTGGCTATTAGTTTTCTTTCTGCAACATTGTTATCAAGAACGTCAAGAATCAGTAACTTTTCAACCGACAACACTGTATTTTACGTCATTTTATGCTTACATATCAGCCACTATGTTAATAAGAAGAAGAATCTAACCTCATTCGAAGGCGCCAAATTTATTTATTTCAATTATTCCATTTGATTAGTGTCGTGCTGCTGTGATTTCAATCTAGTGAAATATGTCACAGAGAAATAGAAAAACAACAAAAACACAAATGGAATTGATTCTAAATTTTCTGGGACAAAATAATGTGTTGATTACAGGGAAAACACATCCATTACATCCTACCGAATTAGATGAAAAGTGGGAAGAACTTACAGCTCTTCTGAATAGTGTCGAAAATGGTGCTCGTAAGGACAAAAAACAGTGGAAAACCGTAAGTTTATTATTGTGCAATTCAGTGTATGACAGTGATGCTTTTTATGATTTATTTGTACTTTAGTTTTCCATTTTTTGTTCTAGTTCCTGTATGAATGGAAATCAAAAACAAAAAAAAAAGCTCGCTTGAACCACACTGCCATTATACAGACAGGTGGTGGTGGTTACATTTGCAAGGACCTCACCGATCTGGAAAACAGATTGATGGCCATTTTTGGATGGATCCACGTTATTGGGTGTCCTGGTGCACCAGCCGAAGTAGATCCAGATGCAGAGTTGCTAGAGAATGTAATAATTGAGGAACTACTTATTGAAAATGAATGCGAGGTTCCAGTGCCTGAGACTGATTTACAAAATGAAACATCAGAACCAGAAATATCAGAAATTCCAATAAGAAATTTGCCTTTCAGAAAATCATCAGGTATGATTTCAGTAATAACAGAGAGTGATTAAGGATTTGATTATCTGCAAATTTTTTTGTCAAGTGTTTCAAAAGGTCTTTGATGATTTAAAATTATCATATATCATTAACTAGTTTTTGTTATAGGGGCTATTCCTAAAATTGTGCACAAGAAGAAAAAAATCAATTCTTCCTCAAAGCTGGAACATTCAGCTATTTTATACAGCGAAAGCACTGGGCAAATGGCTGTAGCAGTGAATGAAATGGCTGTAGCAGTGAAGGAAATTGCTGCTGCTATTTCACAGCTGGCTGGAGCTATCTCAAACATAGCTTCAGCATTGCATAAGGAAAGCAACTAATTTCTGTTTCTTTTTCAATATTACTCAGTACCTAAGTTGAAATGTGATTATAAATTTAATTTTACTTTTGAAATATGATACGTTTTTTTTTTTAAATAAATTTTGTTTGTTTTTGTGATCAAATTCACTTTCAGAATGTATATTTTATTTTTTGTTTTATAAATAAATGAGGATTATATTATGTCTACATTTCTTGTATCAGGTTCACTATTTGCCCTCTAACATATCTTCCTTCGGTGAGCTCATTGATATCTGAAATAGGAAAAAGATAAAATCAGAATAATGTATAGGGTGTTCCAACTTTTAATGAATTCATATTTTCGGTTATTAGACTTTTTATTTCATTTATTCCTATAAACTTATATTTGTCATTACCATCATTTATTCTATTCTCTCCATTTTGAGGCAGTTGATTATTATCTACATCTTCTATATCATTATCTTCTCTATCATCATCATTTGCTTCATCTGGCAAATTATAAATTCTGCAGATGTTGTGCAAAACTGCACATGAACAAATTATCCTAGCAGCAACATCATGTTTATAATGAAGAACTCTATCTTTTCGAAGACATCTGAAGCGTGCTTTCAAAACTCCAAAGCCCCTTTCAACTGTATTTCTTGCTTGGCGGTGTAAATGATTGTAATGGTCTTCTGGGGTATTTGGTGCTGCATTCAAAATTGGGGTCAACAGCCAAGGTTGGATAGGATACCCAGAATCTCCAAGAAGATAGCAATGTCTTCTTCCTTCCACATATTTCCTTCTTAAATGTGCTAGGATTGTTGAGGTATTCCAAATTGCTGAATCATGAACAGCTCCTGGATACAGGGCATTAATATTTGTGATCATCAGCTTCGCATCAAAAATCTGAAATACCATGCATAATACAATTTCCATTTTTTGTCACCACTATAAATATTCCTATTGGGGAAAACTGTAAACTTTTATTCTATACTTACAGCTTGAACATTTAAACTATGATAGCCTTTTCTATTAATATAGGCTACAGCTGGATGGATAGGATCATGAATCTTTGGTGGTACAATTGCGATGTGTGTACAATCTATTGCACCAATTGCATGGGGGAAATTTAAATTTCCATTCATGAATCTGAAATGTTATATATTATTGATCAGGATTTTAAAACGAATGCAGTAGGTTTTATATGTTTACCCATCCTTAGCATTTCTCACTTCCTCTGCACTGGTTGGAAATTTAACATGACGTTGGAGCAAATGAGTAGAAATGAGCATACTAATCTTATTGATTATCCTGCTTATAGCAGGTTGACTTATTCCCAGATTAATATCCTCCCCAACAGTGGTCTGGTAACTTCCATGTCCAAAGAATGAAAGACTTGCAAATACCTAAAGCATGTGTTACACTTACATACCTATACTAGAAATACCTAGGTACCTACCTACTTATTTATCAATTCAACTATTAGTAAAAAGATATACCTGAAGATGGAAAGGAATAGTATCCCTCCTTGTAGGTTCATCTACTAATGCTGACAGTTCATCAATCAAATCAAGTGTTGCAGCTTTATTCAAACGAAAAAGTTTTTCGAATTTTTCATTTGATAGCTCGAATGGGTTGCTGGCATCTCGTATATTACGGAAATGTATCCTGAGCATTTCTCTGAAAATAATTCAATAAATTACTGTATCTTTTGCAATATGCAGGATGAATCAAATATTAATATACTCACCTGTTTTCAATATTTTCGAATAGATCAAAGAAATAAATATGAAAATATAGAGGATTTCCAGCCATTTTCCACCTTACTGTTAGGATAAGAGTTCAAGGCAAGTCCAAAAATGATCTTGCAGGGATAGCAAGATTAATAACAAGATTTTTCAACACTGATAGGTAAACATTGCTAAATATTATGAACCAGAATAACACTTTTCAAGATCTGGTTGTTTACATTGCTATCATAGCAATATCTTCACATAACAATATTGCTATTCTCAAACAGAATCGACCCGATTAAGATACTGTTTCAATGACGGAAATGCAGAGTTCATTCAAATTCGCGTCAGTTTGTTGCCGGACTTTTTTTCATATCTTGAAAAATAAAGGTGGGGGAAGCTGGTGAAGAAATCATTTTTGAAAACGCTTTATCTCCGATATCCTTACTCCAAATTCGATCAACTTGGGCTCATGTGGAAGAGAATTTCACACCAATTCAAACACTGAATTTGACATTGATCTCTAGTTCACACAGCATCTACTAGATGGCGTCGTTCACCAAAGATTCGGTTTTTTTGATTTTTTCCAAAAAATTCAAATGGAATGATACATATTTTGATCAACAGATTCAAAATGCATTAAATTAGCTGCATTTTGGCGAAAACCGTAATTTGATATCTTTATCCGTTTTCGAGTTATTCTCGAATAACAAAATTTTATTATAAAAAAATCATGTTCAATCTTGAACAAATTCTCTGATTTGTGTTATCTTGGGTAAAACTGCATTTGAACGAAATAATTAGCATCTTCATCATATTCACCTGCGCCATTGATTAAAATGCTTATTTTCCGAATTTTCAGCCTTTTATTGCATGTGTTGATCTAATATTCTCGTTCCATGTGTAAAATAATAATAATTGATGCAATTACCATCTCCTCACTGATGTCAAACTACATTACTATTACAGCTGATCAGCAACTATCTGCATTGAAGTATGATTGTCTCCATAGGTATCACGATAAAAGTAGAGGAATGGGAGATTTGTAATGTGAACATGATTTCTCTTGAATAAAATAACTCGAAAACGGATGAATATATCAAATCGCGGTTTTCGCCAAAATGTAGCTAATTTTATGCGTTTTGGATCTAGTGATCAAAATATGTAGCATCCCATTTGAATTTTTGGAAAAAATGAAAAAAAAAACAGAATCTTGAGTGAACGACGCCATCTAGTAGACGCTGTGTGAACTAGAGATCAATGTCAAATTCAGTGTTTAAATTGGTGTGGAATTCTCTCCAAAATGAGCCCAAGTTGATCAAATTTGGAGAAAGGATATCGGAGATAAAGTGTTTTCAAAAATGATTTCTTCACCAGTTCCCCCCACCTTTATTTATCAAGATATGGAAAAAAGTCTGAGAACAAACTGACGCGAATTTCGATGAACTCTGCATTTCCTTCATTGAAACAGTACCTTAATTTAGTGATTCTCGAGAAAAAATCAGTTTTAAGTTTTATCATGAAGATTGCGCCTCCTAGCGGTCGTTTTATGAACTTGAAAATATTTTCTATGTTTTAGGGTTTCCATGATATCGTACCTCGCCGACCTTAGTGGGACACCCTGTATATACCTTAGGACAAGATCCACAGTTGAGTTTGTATACCCCTGATTTTTCGAATTTAGAAGTTTTGTCTTCTGTATTTTTGATAAACCTGGAGGTTTATCGAACCTGTCCACGTAACTAATCCTTCAGGTTGGGAAAGTAGGATATATGTATGAACAAGCCAAGGTTAGTTTAGTTCATCGTACCAGTATATCACCTGACGAAGCTACTGTGTTAGCGAAACATGTCGTGTGTTTGAGAATTTTGTGGAAATCTTATCGTTTGTGAAGTTTTTACAGTTGCCATGGATTTCCATCAACGGCCGAGTCAATTCAAAAAATAGAGAGAAAACTGTGAACTTTTGAGCATGCGGTATTGGCGGTGCGTACGACGTGATACATTTTCTTCACTCAGGTCGGTACATTCGCAAAAAAAGTCCTGGCAACACAAACCTGACAGTTGCAAGGTTTCTGCGACCTGATGGCGCAGCACTTGTCGTCGCAGTGATTCTCCTGGCCCTGTCGCTGGGAGAGCGACAGATCGGCCGGCTGCTGGATGACGATGCTCGAGTTGATGCTCTTCGCGAACAGCTCCAGCTGCGCGACCGGGACGGGCGAGTACGGCGAGCCGGGCGGCGGTGTCGGCGTGCCGAACGTGTAGCCCCACGACGGGAAGAGTACGTCTACAAATAATAGTTATTTATTATACAAGGGAAAAAAGTAGTAGATTTTAGCTCCAGGTTGTGTTGTCTCCCGACGCGTAGCGGAGGGAGACAACAAACCGTGAGCTAAAATTTAATATTTTTCCCGTGTATGATACACTATTTTTTTTCTGTGACAGAAGAACATATTACATTATTTTGAAATCTGAAAATTATCGACGTGAAATTCTAAGTTTTTAACAGTAGGGACACCTGCGCTGTAGGCATCTTTATCATTCTTTTGAAGTATTCAAATATCTGATGTCACTTCTGTCAGTCTAATTCTGTGATTTGATTTAAAAAAATTAGCGAATTTAGTGGTTGTTTAGTAATATACGTAACTGCGAAGTCGAATGGAAGATAAAAGGACTTGCAGTTCTTTCTCGGAGACGGTATTATTGACTCATTTTCGGATCTATAGCACAACCATCAACAGTGTATACAGTCTGTCCAAGATAAGGTTGAACAGCATGGGGATCTCGAAAACGGTAGGAGATACGAAGTCGGTTAAATGGGGAAAAAGTTGCGGATTCGGAGGCTCATATCAAGAGCCTTCGAAAATTTTTAAAATTATTTTTAGTTTTTTAGTTATATCGAAAAAAGTGAATTTTTGGAATATCTATTTTTTTTTCTCCGTTATTATTAGAGATACAAAAAAACTGAGAATACTTTTTTATAGCAACTTTTAATGACGTTTAACGTGGTTATATCGATTTTGGTATGCGACGATTCGTATCCGTAGAACCATCATCAACTTTTGTTTTTTAAATACGGTCCTAATAATTTTTTCACAGATTCTGAAAGGTTTTTTTATTCTGAATTCAACCATGTATTATACAAGGTGATTCGAATGTGTTTCGACCTATTTGTATCCATCATCAATGTTTTTTCGAACTTCCAAAAGAAAAGTGCCATCAGTTCCATTCATTTCTGATCATTTAGTGTCAAACATTGATGGATCAGTTATTCAACACTGAAAAGTGGATAAAAAATATTTCACCACATCATTCAATGCAGCGCTTAAAATTGTTGATGAATTCTTACACGAATTACTTTAACAACTTAACTTTGACAATAATACCTTCAGAAACATTCATAACAAATGTTCAAAATGATAATCATTATTTTCTGAACAAAGATATTCTCTTCTCACAGTTGCTTCTAAGACATTACTGAGCATTTTTGGGGTTATTCGGTTATTCTATTGAATGCTTCGATGACACTGTCCCTTAGTTCTTCTTCATCATCAAAGCTATTTGCGTGTACAAAGTTTTTGATATATCCCCTAAAAAGAAATCCAGCTGTCTCAAATCAGGTGACCTCGCCGGCCAAGGGACTGCAGAATGAATACCAATCCATTTTTCTGGATAAAAACGCACGAACTTCTCTGGAATTATGTACCGGAGCGCCATCTTGTTGAAACCAACAGTTCTGAACTTCCGCAATCGGTAAATCATCCAGAGCTTCCCCAAGATGATTCTCAGGCAAACTTCTATAACGTTAGGAAGTCTGTGTTTCATGGTGAATAAAAGGACCAATAATTATTCGTGTACCAAATATTGCAACCCACATATTAAAGCCGAAACGGTGTTGGTGTCTCGCTGTAATGTATAAATGTTCATTTTCTCGTGAACAATAATGTGTATTTTTTCTATCGAGGATACGAGGATACCATGATTAGTGACCATGCTTTCATCAGTCCAGATGATTGTTCGTGGGAAATCTGCAAACTGTTGACATTTCCTGGTATACCACTCGCAGAATGTCCTGCGCCTTTCGTCATCGCCTGGTTTTAGCGCTTGACATATTTTGAATTTGTATGGATGGAATTATTGTTTCCGCAAAATGAAATGGGTTGTTGATTGAAACCAGTTGATGAGGTATTAGTGTGTTGACTGATTTTCCCTCAAAATATGGAACTGATGGCATTTTTCCTTTGGAATTTCGAAAAAACATTGATGATGGTTAAAAATTGGTCGAAACACATAAACCACCTTGTATAACACATGGTTGAATTCAGAATAAGAAAACCTTTCAGAATCTGTGAAAAAATGATGAAGACCGTTGATGATGGTTCTACGAATACGAAACGTCGCATAGAAAAATTGGTATCACCACGTTAAACGTCTTCAGAAGTTGCTATGAAAAAGTTTCTTCAATTTTTCTGTATCTCTAATAATAACGGAGAAAAAAAATTAAATAGATATTCCAAAAATTCACTTTTTTCGATATAACTAAAAAACTAAAAATAATTTTGAAAATTTTCGAAGGCTCTTGACATGAGCCTCCGAATGCGCAACTTTTTCCCTATTTAACCGACTTCGTATCTCCTACCGTTTTCGAGATCCCCATGCTGTTCAACCTTATCTTGGACAGACTGTATATATGTGATATATATCCGGGAAAAAAGTACTCACTTTTTTCCCACGGGAAAAAAGTAATTTATGAAAAGTGACATTTTATAACCTGCCAACAGAGATGAAATGCCAAACTTTTTTCCCGTCACAGAAAAAAATAAATACCTGTATTTTACATTTTTTCTTAGAGTAATTCATTCTTTCTTATAAGCCTATAGATGCTAACGACTGTTACTCACCTTTTTGTGCCACATGAGAATTATTCGCTGCAGACTGCTGCAGATGATTCGAAGCAAAACGCCCTATCGTGCTAGTGTGAGAGTACAGGGTACTCCCAAAACTTGGTCCGCCAGGAAATAACGAATAAACTCCATATTTATTCGAGCCTGAAAAAAAAATTTTCATTGTGAGAAAAAAATATAAATGTAAATCACTTCATATTTTTACTGATTGTTCCTAATTCATACATGGTGTTTTCAAAAAAGGAGACCCCCTTGCTAGGGTGAGTAGAACATTGCAAAATAAATTGGGTTTGCTCAGTAAAAATATTTCGTAACGACATCCGTTTTAATGTTACAAGGTGTTGAAAAAAATATTTTGTTCTACTAGCTTTTCGCACTCATTTTAGTGTTGGAAGAGTCACTTTACCGCAAATCTGAACATAAATTTAACAGTTACTTTACATTAACTTGAAATTAACTTAACATTAACTCAACATCTACTCAACAATAACTTAAAATTAACCTAACATTGACTTAACATTAACTCAATAATAATTATTCAACATTAACTCAACATTAAATCAACATTAACTCAAAATTAACTTGACATTACCTCAAAATCAAATCAACATCAACGACATTAACTTCACATTAATCACTAAATTGCCAATACATTGACATTGATTCAACTTTCAATTGAAATAAACCTAAATTCAACTTTTCATCAACTTAACATTACGTCAACATTAACGACAATAACTCTTGTTAAATCGACACTAACTTTCCATTAACTTATTGACCATAACTTAACTTACCATAATTCAGCATAATAATCATTCATTGGTACATCATAATCTATAGACCCTGTTACTGTGCGATTTTCGAATATTTCCACCCATGTGAGTTTTACTTTCGAACTTTCTAACTGTTATATGTTTTCATAGTGAAACGAGTCACTTTCTCAATAACAAATCAATGTGTTTTGTGCTGTTTTCATATGTGGTCGTAGGAAAAACTTTTTTGCTACGACTACAATTGTAATAATTGTAATGTTAACTTTTGGGTTTTTTTTTCGCACGCTAGTAGAAGAAATAGTGTGCCTAACACGCGTGGGTAAAGTGACTTTTTCGCAATTGTTCTAGGTAAACTACTACTGTACACATTTTTTAAGATTATTTCGAAACTACTGGCAACATTGTGATGAAATTTTGTATGGATGTGTTTTGGAAGCTGACACGTCGCATATCTTACTCTCATAGATGGCGCAAGTTACATCCGCACCGAGTAGTTTTGAACATAACGAAATCTAAACGTGAATCGGTTGTTAGCTCCGTAAAAAAATAACAAATACCTATACGAGTTCTTGCTATAACTTGCAATTATGAAATTCGGAGACTACAGGTACTTTGCTTATTCGGTGAAGAATGTATTTTTATATCAGCACTTTTTTTTCAGAAACCTATCCGATATCCGATATCAACATCATATCTTTTTAGTCAACAGGCATCAAATTATATACACTAATACATCAGGGATACCCTCCGAGAACTGCATCGATCAATATAGGTAATAGAAAACCATAGGTGGACCGAATTTGAAAATTTGGTAGTTCACTATTGTTGATAAGTGCATTGATGAAATCAGCTCTTCAGTACGAATCTGAAAATACAGGGTGTTCCATTTGAAATAACGAAGTTGGGGTCCACTTCCGGTACAACCGGATGTGCCACAATCTTCAAAATATTTCAGCCGGATAGCACGCATCAACAATAGTGAACTACTAAATTTTGAAATTCGGCCCACCTATGGTTTTCTATACATTGATCGATGCAGTTCCTGGAGGGACACCCTGTATAATAACAATAATTCACCATAATAACAATAATTCACTGGTATCCGACAATGATATGCAAAATAGAAGGTATAAATATCAATTATTGTTGGTTTAATTTTCGGATTACCATTATCGGCCATTATTAACATCCTGCCCACATGGGCGTCACCAAAGCAAGGCAAGGGGTGACCGTGGCTCCACCCCAACTGGTGGCTTATTTATAATTGAATCCGGAATTGAATAAATTGTATTATTTATTTATACCCATACATACTTTGCTGCACGGAGCTGGGATAACTACACGCAATGAGGGACATTTAAAATTTTCTCTTCACCCACCAGTTGGCGTCACTAGAGCCCTAGAGCGTGAAGTCTTTGTCGAAGTCGAAGGCTAACGCCTATTTTTTCGAAAATTTCTTGAAATATGGCCCGCATGTGAACAAATAGGAGAGTGCAAGTTATATGGTTGAACTTGATCAGTCTTGCGCTTTTGAACTCTCAATCCATTTTTCTTTATGTTCTGGTTGCCACGAAAAGGGATATCCTGTAGATGTTCAGAGAACATCGTGAGAACCAAGGGATATAAGGTAGGAATTGGTGTTTTTCTTGAATTTCTGGAGGTAATATTACTCGGGGAACACCTCCCTTGGCAATGTGTTCAAGAGTCTCGCTGTTCGTTGGATGAACGAGTCTTTGGAAAAAGATGTTCTGCAGGTCTCCAAAGTGGTGCGAATAAGCCTCAACTCGACGGGTTAATCTCGCGGGGACTGCGAAGGGAGGAACAACTGTTGATATTTCAGAGGAGCATCGTCCATGAAAATATATATAGAATAGAGCCACATCGCGAACTTTTCTACGGTGTTTCAGAGCAGTGAGTGAGTTTGTGAGCGAGGCATCACCCACGAGACGAATTGCCCTTTTTTGGATAGAATCCAGTTTCAGGGTATGTTTGGGTGCTGCACTCCAAATATGGGAACAGTATTCCAGGACAGGTCGGATCTGTGCCTTATAGATCATAAGCAGCTGACTGGAAGTGAAATAGCTCCTGGTTCGAAACAAAAAACCAAGTTTTTGGGATGCACTTTTAGCAATTGATATCACGTGATATTCCAAAGAAGGGTTATTGCTCATAGTGATACCAAGCATCGAAATCGATCGAAATGGATGTCTTCGAAGGTATGGTTACTCCTGACAATCATATGTTGGGCACAGTGAGATCGGCTTTTCTAGAGAAAAGGCATGCTTGTGTTTTGTTTGCATTGGAATCTACCAAGTTATTGGACCCCCATTCGCGAACTGTTGCCAAGTCCATATTTATGTTGTCAACATTTCTTCCTTGTTCGTTTCTGATTTGCCTGGCTGGTATGGAGTAGAAATAGTGTTGGTGCTAGAATTGATCCTTGTGGAACACCAGCATTTATGATAAGAGAGTCATATGAAACTCCGTTGACCACTACATGGAGAGACCTGTTTGAGAGAAAACTAGCTAGCAGAGAACATAGCTGGGGAGGCAAGCCATAAGATGGAAGCTTGGCGAATGCCTTGGAGATATCAAGTGCCAGTTAACAATACAAAGGTATGAACTGCTATCATTCACCTTTATAATATGGTTGATAACTTATTTGTCATCCCACTGAAAATCACACCAACGTAGGTATAGTTTGTCAACTGAGAAACGAAAAATTATGAGTGATAAGTAGAAACGAATCGAAGTTTCGAACATGGATGATCAAAATGAATAACATTAAATCTGGAATGGGGATATACGTAGAAGCAGGAAGGTTATCTAGTTCTTGGTAACTGGTACTGGTACTGGTGGGGGACGTTTGAACATCAGCAACTAGTCCCCAATGTGACCTTTTTGCAAGCCCCAAGGTGTTTTCAATGACTGATGTGGTTCGATTAAGAGAGCTGGCTAACATCCTTTTCAGGCACCGCCCATCAGCTCTCTTTTTTTCGGCTGTGTTTTGTAGGCTAGTAATGTACTCACTACATGCTGCAGTGGCAGGCCTGCTTGCTATCCTCGTTAACCCCCGTTAGAGACTGGGGTCCACACACTAAGCAGCTTAGTGATTCACACGAGACCAACGAGACGAGACTTTCCTAAAGTCTCGTTTCGTCTCGCCGATGAAATATGAAGTCTTGTCTCGTATCGCAGCGTCCAGTCTCGTCTTGTCTCGCGTCTCGTACGAGAGTCTCGCAAATGTATCGCAATTTCGTCATGCATAATCTTCTTCCAGTCTAGTACGGCATATTTACCCATACCTACTTTTTAGGTATAACGCAAATTATCATCAATTCTACCAACCTTGGTATAACGTAGAAGTAGGAAGAGAAAATTACAAAAAAATAACATTATTTATTGAAAAATGAGTACCTAATAGGTACATACTAAAAGGCGATAGGCGATGCAACCGTGGCGTCGGCGGCCCGTCAAAACAAAGTTATTCTTTATCTTAGACTATTTAGCACAGAATGACTTATTTATAGATTTTCAGGTAGTCATTCAATTTGCGATCTGTCGTTATTGCAGAATTGCCTTTATATTCCGCCACCGTAAGAGAGAGAATAGTCCGTTTTCGTTTCACGCATTACGTCGTTTTACAACAATCATGGATTGTGTTTTTAAAGTACCTATTTATAAATAAAATGTTTTGTCTATATGTGCTGACTAGTCTGTTTTTTTCTAAATATGTTGTATATATTATGAGTCTTGCACAAGACTCGAGACAAGACCAACAAAAGTCTCGTCTCGTCTTGTCAGAGTCTATCGTCTCGAGTTTTGTCTCGAAAACGAGACGAGACCATGCGAGACTCTCGAAAACGATACTCTCGAAAAGGAGACTCTCGCTGGCACCACTAAAGCAGCTGGCCCGCTCTCACGCTCAGCTGGTAGTTCTCCACACCCACCTACATACACCGTCCTACTTCTTCTCTGATGCTCACAACCACATCATCATCTCTTTCTGCGTGTTCTGTGTAGGCTTTGTTACTAACTCCATGCGCCACTTTAGGAGCAGCACTGTTAATTGGAACGCAACAGCGAATCGTGCAGGACTATCCGAAACTTTGCAATATTTAATTTGTAAATAAAATATTGAAAAAAGTTCCTTGCTCGTGCTGGGAATCGAACCCACGACCTTGCGGTCGTGAGAAGTTCGTGGTGATACTCACCATCAGTTTGGAAACTCGCCCCATTTGGTAGCTGGGCAGCAAGCGGACACAAACCTCTATGGGACGCGGTCCCCAATCCAGCTGGGGTGCCCATTTTTCATAGGTTCAACTTTACACGTTATCTGTAATAAAAATAGTTCACATTGAAAACGGCAACCAAATAACACTCGAAATAATATCATATGTAAGGTCTAGGAAAGAACAATAAAATAGACAAGAGTATTTTTTTTGCAACCGACACAAAAGTCGTCAATTTCAATATAAAAATTAGCTCTTGAATTGACGTTTCTAATACTGACACAAAAATAGGTATGTTGCTAGGCAACACATTTAGTTCCTAAGAGCTAAAGTTGAACTGGTTATTTGGGTTAGGCATTTCATACCTACGCTAGTGTCAGTAAGAAAAATAGAAACACAAATTTGAAAACACAAATTTTATTTTGTAACGGTTTGTTTTTACTGTTTTTATTTGATTCTAGATTCTATATATTAACCTCAATATTATATTCATTTTTGATAATACTTATTAGCAGGTCAAAGCGAGGGTTAAAGTGTGTGAATATCTAGTCATTATTTTTATAATGTTCCATTTTTATAGTGATTCATTTCGTTTTATGTTGTCTTGATTTTTGTTCAATATTTTTTTCTGCAACCGACGCAAAAGTCTAGGGCTGCGCGATATTAGATTTCACATATCGATCATCAATTAGTCGAAACATATCAAGTTCGATATGTCGATATATCGATATTTTTGAAATGATATATCGATATTTGTGAAATTATATATTGATATATCGATTTTTTCCCACGCCTAACTCAAAGATAAACTTATTTTTTATCCGAACCAAAGGTTATAAAATCTTCAACCAAACTAATTGTCCAATATATTGAGAAGAAACCGATAGTTCGGTATCGATATATCGATATTATTGAAATTATATTTCGTTATTCGATATATCGATATATTCATCGATATATCGATATAATTATCGATATATCGATATTTTTCCCAGGCCTAATCATGATATTCGTGATCCGAGTATGGTATGCACCTATAGTAGGAACATTCTGAGAATATTCGAAATGTTCCACAGGATATTCTAACAACGTTCTCAGAATCACTTTGTGCTTTCTGGGTATGTCCAAATAAGTGGACTAATTTATTTTTATTTCTTAAATAGAATCATCACTCAAAAACCATCCAATTCCCTATTTTTCTAAATTTTTTGGTGGATTTTTAGGTGCTAAAATCATCAATAATGCCACGGTAATTTTCAAACGGCTAGAAATTTACCGCCAGTTAAAACGCCACGATTTGGTGAGTATTAGCAGACCATAGCACAATTGCCATGTGGTGAAATACGATTGGGAACTCCAGAAATATTAGTTATTCGATAATTCATAAATTCTCAATTGGCTATTGGTAATATGTATTCCTAATAAGTAATGGAAATTCAATTGTCTCAAAATGTTCCCTTAGTGATTTGTGGCTTATTGCTTGTAATACATTTGTGTAAATAATAATTATATCAATTCACACTAGACGGCATTTGAACCGGTAAACGCTTGAGTGAACGTGACAACCACGGCGCAGGACTTGTCGGCGTGGTCTTGTCAGTTCTCAGCCTTCAGCACAATGTTGCCAAGTCTTCAACATTCACTTGATATTTTGTTATGGAGAATAAGAAATATTTGGACATGGTGGTTGCTCGAAAAAGTCAAGAATGAACTAACACATCATGGGTTCCTCATATTATGTTTCATTCAACGACAAGCCTCCAAAATCTTTTTGATAGCTTGATTATAGTTGGTGACTTGACAACCTTGCTTCATGAGTGGAAATGGAAGATTATCTGACCAATAACGAAACAGCATAAAAACTGACGTCACCATTTATTCGACGTATAAATGGCGGCCATGAAGGTTCGTTTGAAATGAGCTCTGTAATTCAAAAACTTGGATCAACGCTAGACTCATTTTTAACATGAAAGAAGCGTGAGAAGTGTGGCAAAACTAATTCAGGCTCCTAACGACATAGTGGAGTAATAATTGAATGCCAATAATTCATTTCATATATACCTCATTTTTCGAGAAGATCATCACCTTCGAAACCCTGGTTCAACAAAAACTGTTCTAGAACTGTTGCCTTGATACAAGCCTACCATCGCTGGCGCCTCGGCTGGCGCAAAAACCCTAACCTCGCGACTAGAGCAGAATACGTTGATGCCAGGAATAACTGCAGCCAAACAATAGATGCTTCGAAAGAAACATACAATGCCAAGATGAGATCGAAACTCATAGTTCATTTCCACCACTGTCCAAATCCGACGGCACATTAGCAACAACATCGCAGGAAAAAGCAAATATTTTTGCAGAGATGTTCGCAGCAAACTCTACTTCAGATTCCCAAGGAAAACTGCCGCCAGACATTCCATCCGTTGAGAGTCGAATGCCCGACATCGTCTTCCGCCAACGCACTATCAGACGAATTTTGCTTGGTCTCAAAACGAATAGGGCTAACGGTCCTGATGGAATTCCACCCATTATCCTCAAAAAATGTGCACCAGAATTAACACCGATTCTCTGCAAGTTGTTTACCATCTCGTACAGGTCGGGTATTTTTCCATCATGCTGGAAGACAGCTAGAGCGTTACCACCGGTCCAACAACTATAGGCCCATTGCCCTGTTATCAGTAATCTTCAAAGTGATGGAGAAAGCCATCAATATTGAGCTTATCAAATATCTGGAGAGTGGAGAGCTCAGGAATCATCAATGATAGACAATACGGCTTTCGCCACCGAAGATCTACTGGAGATCTACTTGCCTACGTCACCCATTTATGGCAATCTTCAATAGAAAAACACGGGGAATCTCTAGCTGTCGCGTTGGACATATCGAAAGCATTCGACCGTGTTTGGTACGAAGACTCCTCCACAAACTACCATCATACGGCTTACAACCTCAGCTATGCCATCTCTTATCGAGTTTTCTTTCAGGCAGATCGCTTCACGTGGTGGTGGACGGTGTATCGTCTGATACCATTGGCATCAATTCCGGCGTACCACAAGGATCAATTTTGGCACCAACATTATTCTTGCTTCATATCAATGATCTGTTGGGAGTAACAACTTGCCCCATCCAAAGCTTTGCAGATGATAGTACCCTCCATACTGCGTTCTCTTCCAGAATTCCCATTTCTTCCCAGGAAACTAAGAACTCGCGGCGCAGGCAGGTCAATGCTGTCAATGAAGATCTTGCTGAAATCACAGCCTGGGGAACAAACAACCTAGTTGAATTCAATGCCACCAAAACTCAAGCCTGCATTTTCTCTAGAAAGGCGGAACTCAGTATGCCCGATATTGTAATGTCTGTCTCCACCATCTCCACCAAGCCCACCATATCTATGCTCGGTATTTCCATCAGCAACACTCTTTCATGGGATAATCATGTCAGATCCATCGCAAAAGCTGCTTCACAAAAACTCGGATTCTTGTTCCGTGCGAAAAGCTACTTTACACCACAACAGCTTCTCATGATCTACAAAGCGCAGATACGGCCTGTTCTAGAATACTGTTCCCACATATGGGGAAAGATACGCTGATGCTCTTAGATTCCATCCAGAGAAGAGCCATTCGCCTGGTGGGTGACGCCACACTCACTCACTCTTTGACACCATTGGAACACCGTAGAAAGGTCGGCGACCTTTCACTTTTCTATCGATACTTCCACGGGAAATGTTCTTCGGAAATCTCTGCTATCATCCCTTCACTAGCAATACCAATCAGACAAACTAGACAAGCCCAGTCAGCACATCTTTTCGTTGTCAACCTCGAAAGATGTCGAACAGCACTTAATCAAGACTCCTTCATCCATAGAACGGCTAGGCTCTGGAATTCATTGCCTGTGGAAGTATTCCCAACAACATATAATCTCCAAAAGTTCAAAAAAAATTCCAATACCTACCTCCTGTCCCTATCCTCCCTAGGAACGCACGATGTTCTTTGAACATTATAGGGATTCCCTTTCGTGCGCTCCAAGCGATAAAAAAAAACTCGCCCATTGAGTCGCCATTTCATTGCAATCCAAATTATTCCGTTATCCATTAAAGTATCACTTGATTATTACTCAAAATATAATTTCTTATAACACGTCAATGTTTGAGAAGTCGTTCCACATTATGAACAAATTGGTTAGTAAAAAAAGTCACGCGCGTGGTAGTGGTTTCGGCTGAAACTGTCTCATTAAATTTCCGGTTCAAAAGTGTCACCTGCCTCGAAGGATGTCCGAAGCCCAAGATCCTCACAGTTTATAGACAAGGAAGGAATATTTAATTACCTGAATTGGAGAGCGATAATATATAGGTAGAGTCGAGGGTAGATTATAATAGCTGGAGTTTGGGTTTTATGGTAATTTTATTCAATTAATGCATTTGAAAGATTATTCTTTAATTATTATGTAGGAATACCTACTTACATCATGGGATATTTCATAAATTTATTTAAAACCAATTAGAAAGCTCCTATTTTGTTACGTTGCTTATAGCAACGGGTGACTATCGTGATAATTTTGTTTGGTCCTTTTAACTTAATGGAATTAATAAGTGATAATTATTCTGTCAAAAAAGAAGCGCCTCACAGGCGCGTTTTTGAGGGGGGAGTAAAGGGGGGAAGCCCCTCCTCGATCCTCGAAAAATATTCACAAAGAAAACAAAAAGTTGTGGTTATCGTCTAAATCAATTGATAACCTGGACACAGAAGTTTACTGTCACTCAAATATATCACTACTATCAAAAATACATTATTACCCCTATTATTTTTCGCCAGTATTGAGTATGGTACCCATAGAATGACCATACCCTATTCGACGAACACCGCGCGCAATATCTGTATTTAAATTTGTTTTTCTGCAACCGACACAAAAGTCGTCCATTTTGATACCAAAATCAGCTCTTAAATTGACGTTTCTATTACTGACACAAAAATAGGTATGTTGCTAGGCAACATATTTAGTTCCTAGGAGGTAAAGTTCAACTTTAGCTCCTAGGAGTTAAAGTTGAACTTTAGCTCCTAGGAACTAAAAACGATGTACTGGAC